AAGTATCGGTAGATGAAGATGGTGTCGATAAGTTTATATGTATAAATCGGATCGAATCCCATACGTTTTCCAGCATGCTTATATACTGTGATTAATTACTGTGGTAAATGAAGTATGAAGGAAGTTTCACGGTAGTATTTCCATGTATGAAAACTACTGATTATATTAATGCATTTTCTTGATTTAGGTAGTTTTTTTTTTCTGATCGTTTGAAGTGAAATTGTGAATATCATGGAAGAATCAAATGCAATGACGATAGAATTTCTTCGGGCGAGGTTGTTATCAGAAAGATCTGTCTCGAAATCAGCAAGGCAAAGAGCTGATGAGTTGTCCAAGAGGGTGCTTATTTTTAAAAGTTGATGGTGGTTTTAAATATTCTGAAAAATGAAGAGAAAGCAAGTTTAGATGTGCTCTGAGAAGCAACTTAAAAACGATTTAACTCACAATTACTAACTTTTGTTTTTAAATAAGTTTTTTTTCAAACACCGCCTAAATCCTTGTTGGACTCCATCAAATTAACTAACAAATAAAAATTAGGGTAAATTACACTCACACCCCTGAGGTATGCTTAAATAATTTTAAGGCCCCTGTGGTATGGATAATTACACGCACCCCCTTGAAACGTAGTTACAAACTCTAATGGATAATGCATTGGATACGTTATTATGATAGAGTTCTAACGCTCTATTGGTATTAGGAAGTGGTGGAGACAACAAAGAGTTATCGGTGATTTATGACATATTTGGGGAGTCATGTCACCACATAATTCCCCATAACTCTATGTTATCTCCACCACTAGCTAAAAGTAATAGTTCACTAGAACACTATCGGAATAATGTATCCAATGCATTATCCCGTTAGAGTTTATAACTACGTTTCAGGGGGTGAGTGTAATTATGAATACCATAGGGACCTTAAAGTTATTTAAGTATACCTCAGGGGTGTGGGTGTAATTTACCCTAAAAATTATGTAAGCAACACTAGGAAACAATAAGCTTTCTCTACCATGCCACGAAAACACAAATCTTAATATTGTTTCAATTTTACTAATATCGTTTTGCCTTGGAACGTGGTTTTGATGATTTTTAGTCTGATTTTTGTAAAATTTAAAACACAAAAATTATAGTCGTTTGAGTTAGCTTTCTAATCCAACTTAAGTTAGCTAAAATCGATGGCATGTGACAATGTTATGCATGAATTTGTAACATCTTGGATTTTAACTAACTCAAACACCAAAATTGTACTCAATGTTCATTTATTCATTTATACCTTTCTCATCCGACATCTGATCTTGCTGAAGCAAGTTGTATTAGGAAGTCAACTCAATAAAATACAACTTGCGTGTTTTGAGTTTGATCAAATTCAGACTTGAAAATGGTCAAAGTCATGTTTGAAGTCGAAACAATATTATTAAAAATGAAATAATAACATTGATCGATCACATCCCAATATAAGAATAACATAACATAAACGACACTTATGAATTCATTACGAACGTGAAACATGATCTACAACATATACCAAGAAGAAGAAAAAAACTTACGACACCAATAACGAAAAGGGCATTGCGGTCATTTCACTTATTTGGAAGAACCAAGTCTCTGATCATCCGATTCCACAATCACATTTGGTGTCTTAACTTTAAACCTCTCAAGTTTCAATCCATCAATCCCATCATCCAAACCTCTTTGATTGATTATATTACCCACACTCATGCTACGTGGCAGCATCTTCTTCTTCTTCTTCATCTCCTTCTTCATCGTAATTGCATCCCCGATTTTCTTAAACAATTCTTCGTGATGAACATCCCCATTAAATATTCTCTTGAAAAATCCAGGTCGATCCACATACATCTCCCCGAACGATTCTAACACGCCTATGGTTTTTATATCGACCGTCTCGCCCGATTTCCATCGTAGCATGTCGTGTATCTTCGTGTAACATTCCACGCCGCCGGAAGACGAACAAATACTACATTTTGATGAATCCATAGCTCCCGATTTCGAAATGTATGTGGAAGAAAATATGATATTTTTCACTAATTAGTTGAATATGAGAAAATAATGATATGTGTAGACGAGAGGATTAATGAAAATTATGTAAGAAATGTGGTGGCATATATGCAGATTAAAGATGTTGCATTGACTCGCGTAAGAAGACTTACTTAGGAGAACCTAAGTTTTTTAATTAATTAATAAAAAAACAATTAAAAATAGGGAAAATTAAAATATATAAATTTAATTAGAATATAAATTATTGAAGTACAGTTTGATTGGTTGTGTTAGAATTTAGAGGCAATTATTGAAGGCAGGTGCCATCTACATGCACAGTTGCTTGCACGTTTGCTAAATTGCAACCTTTGATTTGTGTAGGCCCATAACACTAAATAGCCCAGCCCAGTTTAACGTGTACTCTAAATTATTTCCAGGAAAAATTATAATTTTCACCTCTCAAGTTTGCACATATTACATATTTGGTCCCTATGTTTACAAAAAAATACATTTGGTTCCTCACGTTTCAATCATTTAACATTTTTGGTCATTTCCGTAAATATATTAAGTATGTCAGTTAATTCATTGATGGGGACACGCTTGATTCCGTTAGTTTTAACGAAAAATTGACGAAAATGACTAAAAATGTTGAATATTTAGAACACGAGGGACCAAATGTGTGTTTTTTTTAGCATAAAGGACCAAATATGAAATTGGAGCAAACTCGAAGGACGAAATCTGTATTTGCCCATTATTTCCATCTCACTAATTTCATTAACTAAATGTTGAAGGAAATGTTCCAATTTTACCAATACTGTTTTGGTTTTAAATGTGATTTTGACCGATTTCTAGTTTGGTTTTGGCGAAATTCGAAACAAGAAAATTGTAGTTCTTTCGGTTATCTTTCTATTCCAACTTGAATTAACTAGATTGGATGTCGCATGATATAAAATTATGTATGAATGAATTAAGTTTTGAATTTTGGATAGCTCACAACTTTAGTTGTGAGCATTGTTCATTAACTTATCCGTATCTTTCTCACCCAATATCCAATTTCGGTGATTCAAGTTGCATAAGCAAGCTGATGTTGTATAACTCACCCAGGGTGAATTAAACGGGAACCTAATGGTAGGTCACTGCACACGAATATATGATTAGGGTTGGGGTTCGTGTCACGTAAAGATGAACACCTGAGGCAAGCATATGAGTAGGTAAAATAATAAAGTTTGAAGTATCAGAACTAGAGAATATAACGTACATTGTAAAGTGATGTATATGATTTATTTATCAGTGTGATTAGTGAATCGTACTTAGAGAAGAACTCTAAGTAGGATTAATAAACCCTAATGGGCTTATAAGATCTTATTAATAAAGTTGGGCCATTAATTAATGACCTTGTAGATAGATCGACCTTTTAGATGACTCAAATGCTCATTAGTTTATTGGGTCGGTCCAATAAGATATCACAAGCTAACTTAAATAACTACATATTCCGTGTTTTGAAGTTTATCAAATTAAGCCGCCAAAATGGTCAAATTCATATTTGAAGTGAAGACAATATTATTCAAATTTTAGTAATATAAAATGAAAGTATTAATAATGTTATTTTTATTTTAAAATTTAAATTGGCTTTACATAATAACCAATTTTAAGTAATTAGAAAACAATAAATCCATGTAATAACATACTAATATTATACAACATCTGAGAAAATTCGATTGCCGGATTCATACTAAATTAGTAGTTCGATAATTTAATATTTTACTAAATTAATAAAATTTTGCCGATCGAGAAAAAAAAAAACATGAGATTTTTTGTAAAGAGTTTATAATTAATAATAAATAAATTACTGAATTGCAAGAAATGAAATATTGAATATTGAGGACCCTCACTTTTACTTCGTCCACTTGAAAATTCTGGCTTCAGTAGTCAGCGTACTTCTTAAGGTAAAAAACGAAGATCATCTTCTAAATTATGATTCCTTTCTTCTTATTGTTGAAGGATTTTCTTCTCAATTTTGCTGGGTTTATCTTCGTCGACTGAATCTGATTTTTTTTTTATTTTTTTTTGAATTTTGTGGAAGTAATTTATGGTTTGTTTTACTTCTCACAGAGGTCGGGAGAGAGAGAGAGTAAATGCCAAAATTGTGTGAAGGAAGATCGAACAACAGACAACACAGGTATTAGGGTTTCTTCTTTTTTTCTCACTCTCAGATTGCTTTTCACAGTCTTCTAGAAATTTGCCTTTTGTGGATTTTGATTTTACTTTTAATTGTGGATTTTGATTTTACATTTTTGGGGGAATTTCCCTTCTCAGTTATGGATTTTTTGTTTCTTCAGTATGTGAAAGGAATCGTTTACCCCGTTTCTGTATGTGATTGTGCAAGTGAAGATATACACCGTTAGATCGAATTTCACAATTATGATGATGTGTATTAAGGGGAAAAAATGGTGTATTAATTCATTCCAATTTGGGTGTTGTAGGAACATAAATGTTTGTCCAATATATATGTGTGTGATTGTATGTATATCTACGGTGACATGCTACCCGGTGTACCATGTACGGCACCGAACATAAATTTTGCTACGAGTTGGTTGGATAATTGTGTGTTGTCTTAATGTGATATGGAACTTAGAACTCTTAGAACTTTGATTTTTTTTTTGTGAGATACAGTTTTAGTTGCGTTGGGATTTGATGCACGTATGTATTCTGCCTCGGAAGTAGTTTTATCGTGTTCTATTCCTATCGGGTATTGATATATAAGTTGCTTCTGCGTGTTAGTGAAGTATTCTTGCTTACTATAATATGAACATATCTCTAATCTAGTAAGGTATATGTGGAGTAATAATATGTAGGAGAAAGTATCGGTAAATGAAGATGGTGTTGATGAGTTTATGTATAAATCGGATCGAATCCCATGCACATGTTGCTAAGTTTTCCAGTATGCTGTGATTAATTACTGTGGTAAATGAAGTTTGAAGGAAGTGTTTCCATGTATGAACCTTTTGCACGTGGCTGGGAATGAGAGTGAAAACTACTGATTATATTAATGCATTTTCTTGATTTAGGCAGTTTTTTTGTGATCGTTTGAAGTGAAATTGTGAATATCATGGAAGAATCAAATGCAATGACGATAGAATTTCTTCGGGCGAGGTTGTTGTCAGAAAGATCTGTCTCGAAATCAGCAAGGCAAAGAGCTGATGAGCTGTCCAAGAGGGTGAGTTATGTCTTGTAACACATACGATTGTTAAATGGTCTGCGTTTTTCCCCAATTCTCATAAGATTTGAGTAACGATAGGCAGCCTAATTTCACGAAATCTCCAAATAAAACGAGTAATTTGAGAATTAATTCACTCGGTGTATTGTATGGCAAGTTGGTAACAACGATCGCATAATTGAAGATCTGAAAAATGAATTAAGTAATATAAATGTGAGGATTTATACGTATCTCTTACTTGTTCCTTTTCTCTTTACCTCACCCCCTTTCGGATAATTGTTCATTGCTTGGCTTCTGAATATTTCAAACTTTCAGGTAGCAGAACTTACGGAGCAGCTAAATTTTGTATCTCTTCAAAGGAAAAAAGCCGAAAAGGCCACAGCGGATGTTCTTGCAATGTTGGAAAATCACGGAATAAGTGACGTGTCAGAAGAATTTGATTCGTGTTCCGAGCAGGATGAAAGTCCACATGAATTGAAGGCTCGTAATAGTTCATTGGTAATTCAAGAAACTTCAACCAACCACAAACCAAGAAAAAACGAAACGGAGGCATATTCCAGTTCCGAAATCGAATCTTGTCCATCAATCGGTAGTAGAAGCTTGTCCTGGAAGAGTACCAAAGATCCTCAGCGACACTCACCCGAAAAGAAGAAATACATCGATTCTGTCAGAAGAAGAACGAGCTTTTCATCAAATGGTTCTTCAGCAAAAAGGGCCGGTAAATCATGTCGTAGGATAAGGCACAGAGAGACTAGGTAAAATTTTCTTGACTTGGATTTTGATCATTATAATTCATCACCCTTTTTGTGATTCCTTTTTTTTTTGGGGTTAATGGTAGATAGTGATAAACGAGCCACAACTTTCTCGATGAAGTATATAACTCCTGAATTTACGCCTAAGAAACACGCAATGGCTCTACGTTTGATATTTTCAATTTCTATTCCCATCTTGTTGATACATTAAATGGTCATCTTAGCTAGTTTCTCACTCATAAAACAATGACATTAATTTTGTTTGTGGTGTGACTTGCCAGATCAATTGAGGAGTTACAGAATGTCGACACTGAGAAGGCCGTAAATTCCAGAGATGTTTGCAACTGCTCCTCCAATGGTGAGCCCGTTGCATTAACAGAAAGCCCCGTGTTGAGGTCAAATAATGAAGCGCAAGAAAGTAATATTGGCCATTATTTTAATGGAGACATGGAAAGTGCACTGCAACATCAGGCCCAACTCATCGGTCAATACGAAGAGGAGGAGAAGGCTCAAAGAGAATGGGAGGACAAATTCCGAGAGAATAATAACAGTGGCGGCACACAGGTATGCTTAATGGTTTATCGAATCCAATTGAAATTTGGGCCGCATTTTTAGTCTTTTTGAAATTCATTTTGCAGCTATATGAGATGTTTTATTCCTTGCACGGGGGAAGAACTGCAACGTGCATCGGAATATTAAATAATTCTATGTGTTGGATTAGAAATGAACTCGATGAATTTGCTTTATATATATTCCGTTCATTTCTGCACCTGCGATAGCTATATGTGCTTCAGTAGTTTCATTCCCTATATGGCACTAGCTCCGTGTTTCTTTTTAAGCGTCGTTTAAAGTAGATGCACTCCATCTCTTTTTAAGTGTCGTTTAAAGTAGATGCACAACAATTAACAGAGTTATTAAAGAGTCCTGATTTGTGGCCTTATTTGACCAAATTACCCCTTTGCGACGTTTCATCCTTTTCTTTCTCATTTCATTAATCTAATCATTAATGTTGGGGTAAAGTTGGAAACAAATAATTGATTCTGCCTCGAGACTCTAAGTGACACTTAATTTGGGAAAAAAAAATACGGCTAAAGTGACACTTCATACGGGATAAATTTATATGGCTAAAGTGTCCCGTAAAAAGAAAGGGAGGGAGTATTAACTATATGTTTACTTCAATTTACATCTCTCCTCACTTTCTCTAATCTCGTTTTCTATTTCTCTTACGTAACAATATCATTTTTCCTAATGTTCTTTTCTTATAAATAAGTTAAAATTATTCTCTGTGAACCACCTACCAGGACTCGTGTGATCCAGGGAACCATTCAGACGTGACTGAAGAACTATACGAGATGAAGCCGCCTAAGCAGTCATTTGCTTCTGAGACCGTGTGTACAGATAATCAAGAAACGAAACAAGAACCACAGATTTCCAAGAGTTTGCCGCCTGTCACATATGATAACCACAAGGTAAATTCGCAGGAACAGAAACTCGTTGGCGAATCTTCAGCAACCGAGTTTTCATTTCCCACATCCAAAGAGAAAAGTGACAACGACTCATCAGAAAAACAGCACGAGGCATCTGCACTTAGAACACACCCTTCGTTACAGTTATCTTCTTCTTCTTCCCGTGAGCTTTCGATTATGCCTAGAGAAACTTCGAACAATTTAGGTTCTGTCTTAGAGGCACTTCAGCGAGCCAAACTGTCGCTGAATCAGAAACTCAATAACTTGCCTCCTTCAGCAGGAGGAGCAACTTCTAGCAGTGCCGTCAAACCATCAAATCTCGAAACAGACAAAGTCGACAGCTGGCGAATTCCCATTTGTTCTCCCGGCCTTTTCAGATTGCCAATCGACTATCAGTTCGAAGCCAACAATCCTCGTGCTTTATCGGGTGACTCATTTCTCACTCATGTCACTAACAGACCTTTTATTACTCCGGAAATCCAGAGGTCTTTCGGACAACCTAGACTAAGTGAAAGTCCACCAATAATGCCAATGCATAATCTCGATCCTTACGTGAACCGTGTTCTTCGGTCGTCAGCAGAAGATTCTTATCCGTTTTTTCCGGATGTTACATCATCACTCCGCCCACCGTTGAATGAACAAGCAGGGGAATCTTCTAGAACTTCTCCGAGTTCGGAAAGAGGGTTACCTCCTGTTATGCGCCTATCGTCTTCGTACGATCCACGCGTCGGACCCAATATGTACAGATAGCCTCCCGCCAATCCTCCTTCCAGCCGGATTATATTATCCTATATATATATTTTTTCGTCCTTTTCTTTCCCTATATATTTAGATATTTTCTTGTGTGTTTGTGTAATAGAGGTTTTGCCAATGTGAACTTAGGAATTATCACATAATTTTATAATGCTCATGTTGAGCATTTCTGAACAGCTTTTTTTTTTTTTCTTTTTTTCTAAGATTGTTGTATGATATTAATGAATAAGAGTTGGGATTGTCTAGGATTCGAGAAATTTATACCTCTCGCGGTGTAAAATATTTAATGTTGTGTGTATAAAATATTAAAAAAAATAAATTAATGCACGACCTGCTACCACATTTGAGTTTGAGATCTAAAACTAACTACAACCCCAGTTAAAACTTAAAACACATACATCGTATAAATTATTTTACATTGGATAAATTTTTATCACTTATATACATACAAATACTAACGTCACATCCTAATTGGTGTGTGTAGAGCAATAAAAAAATATTTAGTGTAATCTTCGTCGGGTCAAGTATGAAAAATAAACATTTCGCATTACCGTTGACCTCAAGTCTCACTCCATGCAACATTTGGATCAATCATTTATAATGAATTTAGTCGACTCTCGAAGAGTTAGAGGTGGATTTGAATTCTAGATTTGATTAATTAACTACCAATTAACTGTATGTGTAGATAAACGGAATAAATCCATCCCGTATAAATAACCAGATGAATATATATATAAACGTGAAAGTATATAAATAAATACAAACATATTTTTATTTTATCCATATAAAGAAAATGCATCGAGGTTCTCATTTAATTTCATGCATTATGTTATAAAGTGTTGCGTACACGTGTCTCTTTCTGGTCTCACATGTCTTATGTTTCCACCACGTACCAAATTCAAATTGGTGCCTTATCTTAAATTCATCATATATATACTTAGGTTATCCTCTTTCTTGTCATAATTAAAACAAAAAAAAAAAAAGAAAAAAAAAGCGGTTGTTTAATTAATTAATTTAATTTAAGTTTGAAGAAATAATAATAAGAATGGATACAAGAGAGAGAAGCATTAGGGTTTTAATGCTGCCATGGCTAGCTCACGGCCATATCTCACCGTTTCTCGAGCTCGCCAAATCACTCGCCGCCAGAAACTTCGTCACCTACATCTGCTCCTCGCCGGTAAACCTCGCCTCCATCAGAGAAACCCTCTCTCCAAAGCACTCCATCTCCATCAAACTCGTCGACCTCCACATTCCCGCCACCGCCGACCTCCCTCCCCACCGCCACACCACCAACGGCCTCCCGCCGCACCTCATGCCCTCTCTCAAGAGAGCTCTCGACAAGGCCCGGCCCGCCTTCTCCACCCTTCTCAAAACCCTTAAGCCCGACTTGGTCGTTTACGATTTCCTCCAGCCGTGGGCGCCGGAGGAGGCCGCCCTGCAGGATATTCCGGCGGTTCTGTTCTTCACCACCGGCGCCGCCACTACTTCTCTCCTCCTGTACCACTGGTTTCGCGAGCCCGGATCGGAGTATAATTACCCTTTTCCGGGCATATACTTCAGGGAGAACGAGTTCGGAATCTACAGCCGCATGATCCACTCCGCCGGCGGCGAGACCAACGACGACGACCGGGTCAGAGACTGCGTCAAGAGATCCTCCGATGTTGTCCTGATCAAGACATTCGGAGATCTCGAAGGGAAGTACGTCGACTATCTCAGCCAACTCTGCCGGAAGAAATTTGTCCCCGCCGGCCATCTGGTTAATCAAGATATTAATAATATGAAGAAAGATGACAGCTTAATCGAATGGCTGGACGAGAAAGAGCGGCGGTCGACGGTTTTCGCCTCGTTCGGAACCGAGTACTTCTTGTCGGAGAACGAAGTCGAAGAGATAGCCTGTGGGCTGGAGATGAGCGGGGTTAACTTCATATGGGTGGTTAGGTTTCCGGCGGGGGAGGGAAGATCAAGAATCGAGATTGAGGAGAAACTGCCGGTAGGGTTTCTTGAAAGAGTGGGAGGGAGAGGGGTGGTGGTGGAGGGGTGGGCCCCACAGAGGAGGATTCTTTCGCACCCGAGTGTGGGGGGGTTCTTGAGCCACTGCGGGTGGAGTTCGGTGATGGAAGGGGTGTATTCCGGCGTGCCGATTGTGGCGGCGCCGATGCATCTGGACCAGCCGTTGAATGCGAGGTTGGTGGTGGAGGCGGGGTTGGGGGAGGAGGTGGTGAGGAGTGGTGAGGGGAGGCTTGATAGGGAGGAGGTGGCGAGGGTGGTGAGGAAGGTGGTGGTGGAGAGGAGTGGGGAGGAGCTGCGGCGGAGGGTGGTGGAGTTTGGAGAGAGGATGAGAGAGAAAGTGGAGGAGATTGATGGGGTGGTGGAGGAGATGGTGAGGTTGTGTAGTAGAGGAGGAGAGAGAGTGAATGATAATAATAATAATCTAGAGAGAGAGAATTCCATGGCGAGGTTGAAAGAACTCATGATCATGAATAGTAGTAATGGTGGTAGTGAAAGAACGTTGAGTGAAAATACTTGACCTAATTAATTAACTATAGATTGGCTTGGAATATATGTATGTATAATGTATGTATATATTATTGAAAAAAAATAAAAAAAACATAGTTCGATGAATAATTTGTAATGAATTTCAAGTTTTTTACATTCCTTTTCGGTTATTTTTTAGTCACTATGGTGGGTTTGGAATTTATTTTAGGGTAAGTTACGACCACCCCTGCTATATGTAATGTTAAATTAAGAATGTTTTATTTTATTTGGATAAACTCATGTAACCACTTCTAAGATATGAATTTCCTTACACGTTCAACATCATGCTCTCAAATTCAGCGTAAATTTTGTGGTCACCTTATTTTAAAATGCAGAGCTTGAGTATGGTAAAACGGATACAAACTAGAGAATATATATAATGTAGAAGATTTAACTAATTTTGTGATATGCCTAATTGGGCCAACCCAATGGGCCTACAATTTCTTTACCTACTGGGCTACGAGCCCAATATCGAAGACTAATATCACCGAGGCCCAAACACCTTCAAGTAAGGCTTGGGCCCAACAAAGCAAACCCAACCCAATAAACGACATATAAATAGAGGTTTTCCTCATTTTATTAAGGTACGTCCTATTAACTGAGCAATACTACAATATGTATTCTCTGGACTATTTCTATGATCAGCACGTCTGACTTGAGCGTCGGAGGGGTTTCCGCCGGATCAACCCCCGGCGTAGTTCACGTGTGCTCATTTCGCAGGTACCTCAGGATCATCAAGTTGTCAAGCTACTGATCCGCTTTGCTCTCCCAGTTCATTTTCTACACACCCCAGGTGATCTAAATATTTTAGCATCATCATTTTGGCGCCGTCTGTGGAACGATGCAAACCAGATCACGTAGCCAACAAGATCCTCCTGAGGCGTCTGCTCAGAGAGAAAATGACACAGCTAACGACCTCCCACCTCGTTGAGGCTCTGGCTTGCCACCTCCTCCACACCCCATGGATCTGCCTCGCGAGGTTCAGGTGATCCCCCTCGGGACCCACCACTCGCCGATCCACCACTCCCTGCTCCTCGAATGGTTCAAATAACCGAGGATGACTCAATATATCGCCTCGATGGGAGCAGATGCTCGCAACGCGATACCAGCACCTGCTCCACTTGTGGAGCCACCTATGGCACCACCGCCATCGACTCCCTGGGGGCTTACATAGCCACCTATGGCACCCCCGCCATCGACTCCCTGGGGGCTTACATCTGCCCCCAAAATATTTCGGTCGCCAAGGGTTATCGACTCCCTGGGGGCTTACATCGCCCCCAAAATATTTCGCTCGCCAAGGATTATCGACTCCCTGGGGGCTTACATCGGCTCCCAAAATATTTCGTTCACCAAGGGTAATCTCCCTACTCAAAAAATAGAACATCCCCAAGGGGGTGCACATCCCATCTCAAGGAACGAGGATAATCTCCCTACTCAAAAAATAGAACATCCCCAAGGGGGCGCACATCCCATCTCAAGGAACGAGGATAATCTCCCTACTCAAAAAATAGAACATCCCCAAGGGGGTGCACATCCCATCTCAAGGAACGAGGATAATCTCCCTACTCAAAAAATAGAACATCCCCAAGGGGGCGCACATCCCATCTCAAGGAACGAGGATAATCTCCCTACTCAAAAAATAGAACATCCCCAAGGGGGTGCACATCCCATCTCAAGGAACGAGGGTAATATCCCTATTCAAAAAATAAAACATCCCCAAGGGAGTGAATATCAACCAAATAAAAAAGAAAAAGAAAAAAGATGAAGATGAAAAAATAGAAGAAAAAAGAAGAGGATAAAAAGAAAGAAGAGAAAGAAGAAGATGAAGAAAATAGAGAAGAAGAAAGAAGAAGATGAAAAAATAGAAAAAAAAAGAAGACGATGAAAAAAGAGAAGAAGAAAGAAGATAAAAAAATTCAAGAACAAGAAAAAAAAAAGAGAAAAAAAAAGGGGGAGGAAAGGAGGCGCGCGCTGACGCGCTCGCGCGTCAGAAGAATAAAATACCAAAAGCCCTCGCTAAAAGGAAAGGAGGCGCGCGTGCAATGCACGCGCGCGCGTCAGCAGCCAGGGAAAAAAAAATAAAAAAAAAAAAATGGAAAAAGGTGATGCTGCAGCATTGCACGTGGGATGGGATGACTCTCTCTCCCAAGCAACTCCCTCTCTCCTCCATCAATGCAAAGTCCCATCAACTCTCTCTCCCAAGCATCCTACCACCCCTCCCCTACATCAATCACGCGCGCGAATCTAAATACTACATTGATTCGCGCGCGCCCCTCCCCTAGTCACTTAACTGCGCGCAATTTGCACTGCATATCACTAAATTGTGTGCCGATTTTACCTCGCTTCACTATATCGCGCGCTCTCTACAATGCCTCTCCAAACCGCACGCGCTCTCAAACGTATAAATATAAATAATTATTTCTCCACGGCACGTTTATAATTAACGGTATACCACAACACCGATTTACTCTCAACTTGATTCCGCGCCAATCGCGCTGTGCACGTTCCGACATCTCCAACCGCGCTACGTGCGTGTGCTTCTCCTCAACTGCGGAATCTTCATTCGCGCTCGGGATCTCAATCCACGTGATCCTCTACCGTACGACCTCGACCCACGTGATCCTCTACCGTACGACCTCGACCCACGTGATCCTCCACCGTGCGACATCGATCCACATGTGTGTCCTAGATACGCACATCGCTCCACAGCCGTTGCGATGCAACTCGCTCGGTCCTACGAACATCAATTCGCGCGCGTCTCTCTCCACTCACTTCATCGCACACAACTTCCACTGCGCACCACCAAATCGCGTGGGAATCTCAACGCGCTCTACCAAATAGCACAAGGATTCCAACGCGCCTCACCCAATAGCGTTCGTTCTCCGCAGAAAAAATAAAAATTATTATTCTACTCTCGACACGATCCGGTATCATTTTCGACTAGGCTCCCACATCGTCTCGAGAGTGGGGGGCTTGCGAGACAACTCCCACGAGGAGCAAACTCGCACGGTCACATAGCCCGTTGCGAGACAACTCCCACGAGGAGCCAACTCCCTCGGGTCTACGAAACCATAGCGAGATAACTCCCACGAGGAGACCACTCGCTCCGTCCTACAACCCGCAGCGAGACAACTCCCACGAGGAGCCAACTCCCTCGGGTCTACGAAACCATAGCAAGATAACTCCCACGAGGAGCAAACTCGCACGGTCATATAACCCGTTGCAAGGCATCTCCCACGAGGAGCCAACTCCCTCGGGCCTACGAACCCACAGCGAGATAACTCCTACGAGGAGACCACTCGCTCCATCCTACGACCCGCAGCGAGGAAACTCCCACGAGGAGCCAACTCGCTCGGTCCTACGAACCCACAGCGAGATAACTCCTACGAGGAGACCACTCGCTCCATCCTATGACCCGCAGCGAGATTACTCCCACGAGGAGCCAACTCGCTCGGTACTACAACCTACAGCGAGATAACTCCCACGAGGAGACTACTCGCTCGGTACCCCAACCCGCAGCGGGACAACTCCCACGAAGAGCTACCTCGCTCGGTAATAAGACTCGCCGCGAAACAACTCGCACGAGGAGACAACTCGCTCAGAGCGACCTCGATACGCACACTCCTCAGTCGCGCGTCATCCAATGCTTCTACAACTTCGTTGCGAGACAAATCCCATGAGGAGACAACTCGCCCGAAATTCAATATATAATCGCAAGCTCAAGATAGCACGATTACGACCCTAGAAACACTTAGAAATATTATGGGAATCTATATAGCCTGGCCAGCTTGATTACTCAAATTTATCTACTTGTTTTCGATGGGTCCTTCATTAAAACGTGGCCACGGTCCAAACATACTTACGACCCACGAGGTCTAACAAAGGGCACGATCCCCATATAAAAATCTTGAGAGTCTGATCCCCTCCTCAAGTACATCACGCAGAAGGCTATATGTAAACACATACAAGCAACGCGTCAAAACATTGAAAATGTCGAAAAATAACAACTCCCACGAGGAGAATACTAGCTCCGTGCTATTACATTATCGTGAGACAACTTCCACGAGGACGTAACTCGATCAACTCGATTACCCCAGAGACAACTCCCACGAGGAGATTATTTGATCCGTGCTACTACATTATCGCGAGACAACTCCCACGAGGAGATAACTCGATCAACACTATTACCCCGCGACAATACAACTCGCACGAGGAGATAATTCGCTACTACATCGTCGCGGGACAAAACCGACGACTCAATTAACTTATATCGCGGCAACTTTGTCGCGCTATGCGCCAACGCGCATTCACACCCCTCCGACACACGCTCCAACGCGTTTTCGCATACCATTAGGCCATACGCCAACGATCGACTTCTACAATTTTTACTCTCGACACGATCTGAGACCCATCACAACATGGCCCCCACATCGACTCGAGAGTGGGGGGCTTAATGATATGCCTAATTGGGCCAGCCCAATGGCCCAACAATTTCTTTACCTACTGGGCTACGAGCCCAATATCGAAGACCAATATCACCGAGGCCCAAACACCTTCAAGTAAGGCTTGGGCCCAACAAAGCAAACCCAACCCAATAAACGACATATAAATAGAGGTTTTACTCATTTTATTAAGGTACGTCCTATTAACTGAGCAATACTACAATATGTTCTCTGGACTATTTCTATGATCAGCACGTCTGACTTGAGCGTCGGAGGGGTTTCCACCGGATCAACCCCCGGCGTAGTTCACGTGTGTTCATTTCGCAGGTACCTCAGGATCATCAAGTTGTCAAGCTATTGATCTGCTTTGCTCTCCCAGTTCATTTTCTACACTACCCTAGGTGAGCTATATTTTAGCATCATCATTTTGATACAACAAAATATGAACGTGTAAAAAAATTCGTAGTTGAAAAGTGACTGTAATTATTCAAACACGAGGAATAAGCTGTTTGCATTTTCTAGTATCCAACACTTGACTTTGACCAACTAACTTGCCCAAATTTGAAGCAAAATGTGTACCAAAACCATTAAACTTTAATTCAATTTTTTTTGTAATAATCGTTAGTCTTTTGAAAATTTGTACCTCCAAAAAGGTAGACTTAGAAACCCACAAAAGCCTCAAAATTAAAACATTAAACTAACATAGCACCAAAATATGTTGCTTTTCCTTTTTATTTCTTTAACAAATACAGCTTGAAAAGGAAGGGAGGTAGAGAAGTGGGGAAAAAGGAGAGCAAGTATTAAAGCAAAAGCAAAAATAAAGAAAGTGGATAGCATTCAACATGAAAAAAATTATACTCTACATCACAACATCTGTCAATAAATATGCAGATGCAATAGCATTTCACTATACATACATAGCTGAGTTTCTAAGAGATCAAATGAAGAGTAATAGCCTCGGCGCAACTCTCGGAAGCAGCGGTCGGTTTTCGGCGGGCGATGACGACGAGGACGAAACGTCGAAGATGGCTTTAGCAAAGGAAGAGGAGATCGAGAAGCGAAAAATCGAAGTTAGGCAGCGGGTTGAATGCCAACTCACACGTGCACAAGAAGAAGCCAAGCGATTGACACAAGTTTGGGAAGTAAGTTGCTAATTACCCTTCTTTAAAATGATTAGAAACTACGACGGTTATATTAACTGTTTTTGCGATGATGATAGTATGCATGGTTCTAGAATTTTCGAGGTTTAAACAATCGAGATTTGGATTAGGATTAGGATCGAATCCACGAGAACTGAAAAAATAATCCCAACTTAGAGTCAGTGGTTTAAGATCTAAGATCTGTTTGTTATGAATTATGATACAAACAGGCTCAATGGATTTGTTATTATGAATTTAAACAAACGTACACTTTGGAAGAAACAACGAGAAATACTAATTTAATTACATTTGAGTTCGAATTTGAATAATCACTTTATCGCTGTTACAGCGAGGCATCTCAAAGTGAGATATTTTCTTCAGAATTATTATTAAAAAAAAAAACATAATTTAAGCCAAATATTATACTCTCTATCGTTTGATTATTTAATTATTTCAACCTCATAATCCATTAAACCATATTTGTGAAAATGTATGTACAGTCGAGCCTCTATAAACTCTATAAAGTAATACAGTTATGACTAGCAAAACCCTATTAACTTAGCGAAACATTAAATTATTGAGCGAATAATTTAGTATATTTCTACTGATTTGAAACCGAAAGAAATTATTATTTAAATAAGATTATTAATTTATCGATGTTTTACTATAGGAACTTGAAGTGTTCACAGATCCGATGAGAAAAGAAGTGACGAGTGTTCGTAGAAGATTAGACTTGGCTAATCGTGACCTCAAATCTCTCGCACAGATCTGCCAAAAGAAAGTAACTACACATTCTTCTCTCTCTCACACTTTTCTTACCTCAATTAAACATAAATAATAATTAAAATAAATAAATAACAATTTTTTTTTAAAATATAATCTTTTTTTATTAGGAAAAAGAATATAAAGAAGTCCTGGAGGCTTTCCAAGAAAAGAGCAAAGAAAAAGCTCAACTCACCACCGCCCTTGTGGAGGTAAACCCTTTTTCTTTTCGCCAATTTACGGTCACCCCTTAGATAAGCCTAAATTACGAAAACATCCCTGAATAATTACAACCACCCATCAACTATGTATTGCCTTACAAACAAACCCCTCTTTCAGTAGGTAAATTCGACGCTGTAAAGATTGAAAGACAATACATAGTTGAGAGGACTGGTTGTAATTACCCCAACATTAGGATTTTTTTTTTGTAATTTGAGCATGCCTCAGGGATGTGGCCATAATTTGTCCTTTTCTTTTTTCAAATCCAAAAGCTACAAGCAAAGTAAGTGTATAATGTATTTGTAAAAAAATTTAAAATAAATATTAAAAAGTATTATTAATATGTTTTTTTGCAGATGGTGAATCAAAGTGAGAGTTTCAGGATGAGGAAGCTGGAGGAACTTAGCAAGATTCTTCACAGCTTAAAAGCATAAAACACAAATACTATTGTTCTCTGACTTTTTTTTCCTTTTTTTTTTTTCTATTTTTTTAATCTATTTTTGAATCAATTCCTCAACTACTTTGATTTCAAAATATTGCTAAATTTAGAATTTGTGTCGGATCGGATCGTGTGCGCGGTGAACTACGTTGTTTAGACAAGTACAAGTGTCGTTACATTTCTAACAATCTACGACTATATATGTTCATTTGTCCCGTAATTATCGCGATTAAGGTACTTTCATCAAATTCCGAATTCAATTCTTCTTTTCTTGCAATGCTCTCCTTTTCCAATTCCATTACGTATCTATAATCGTACTTCCGCACGAAATGCTTTCAATCTGTCAGACCGATACCTGTTGACGAGAGAAGCTCTTTGTACTCCGCCAGTAGATTTGGGATTTCACTCATCCGTAGCTGAAAACGAACAACATATATTTTCGTTACTGTGTACAAAACAAACAAACACACACACACACACACATGTGAAACAGAAACTTAATTTCATACCTGAGAAGCACTTTTAACATGACAGAAGCGAAATGCATCTTTTCCACGAAAACCAGAATCTGCAAGCTCTAATTTACATCCAAGCTTTCCTCTGTCACACAAAAAAAAAAAAAAAAAAAAAAAGGAAACACAAAGTAATTCAAACAAATTATGCTAAGTACACCAACATAATGCCAAGAATTAAACAATTAAACTTCTTTAACTATTTTAAGACCGATAATAAAGCTTATAGAAGTTAATGTAATACTTGTCTGAAAAAAAAATGAGAGCTAAGAATAACAGTTTGTCAGATTAAGTGCATGGTTTTCGAGTTTCAGAGAGATCGCAATGGCCAGTGCTATCTATATATGAATGGAAGCAACAAGCATTAGAATTCACAATTCGTATAATTATCAAGAAATTATAACGTAGAAGAGATCAATCTCACATATGATGGCGGGTAATAAACCGTTTGTAGTCATGTAGTAACGGGCCGAGCTCCTTCAGTGATATAGATTGTGGCGCTGACTTCATCCAGTGGTCTCTGAGCGCTTGCACAGCCTTTAACAAGAACAGTTTCAGAGGAAAAAAACGGCAAAAACACGCTCCGTATGATGCTAAAAATTTACTGAGAGTAAATGACTCTGATATATATACCCGCATGTCACTCGAAGCCTCTTCACCGCCGATTCTTGACGCTAGTTTGATAAGTTCTTTGTCTTCCATTTCGTTCATGATATTCTCGGGATTAGAAAGTAAATTTGAAATTTCTAATCTTTTCTGCAACTCCGAAAATGCAGAGCCTTCTATTTGGTCTTCCTGTGAAAAGAGAAATGGAACATTACTACACCGTTTGGCAACTCACTCGCACATATGATTCTGTGTTGATGTTATAATTCAGAAGATTCACAAGTCATCAAACAATAAAGAAATAAATGAGGAAAGTCCAGTACACCTTTGCTGCCATTGTTGCATTTATTTCCGGAATAAGTTCGGATGGAGATGTTGTTAGCCTCTTTGCAATAGGATCATCTGTAATCAAGCACAAGTCGGATTTAATGAAAAAGAATCGATAGCTGGGAAGGAAAATAAGGAGTTTATTTCTTCTCAACTCCCAAAAATTGAAAGGTTAAGCCAGAAAAGACTAAAAGGTGAATGGAAACAACAGATTCGAGTAATGCAGTACTTACAAAAATTAAGTCGAGTTTAACAACAGGATGAATTATACAGTTAACATAGCTATTGAAGCGAGAGTCGATTTAAAATCGCAGTAGGTAAATAGTTAATACCTTCGGGTACAAGCCACCAGAGATCACCATAAGTTGATTTCCCGTCAAATCCGCCAAACAGCAGATACCGAGAACCAACAGAGTTCATGGAATGATATGCTCGAGCAGCTGGGGGTTCGTTGCTAGTAGGCAAGCGTGTCCACTGCACCGACACTACATGCAATTACAAAACAGTATATTGTCAAAATTCATATTCAGAGAGAACAATATTCAAAGGTCAATAGTATCATGAAACAAAGTACAGGGAAATACAAATAGCTGCATTAATTATAACCCCTTGATAACCGTATCCTCACAGATATTCTTCCTAAATGGGGGCTGTCTTCTTTCCAAATAAAACAAACATTTACGAATGAGACCATGTATTAGTAGCAAATAGCAGTTAAGGAGTTCATGACAAGAATAAGGCATATGCAGAATGCTATTCATCAGTATCTCGTGTGGACTGAAATTTAATTTTCCAGGTCAAGGAAACTATTGTTTTATTCTTTCAGAATGGCTTACAGGGGATTTCATATATAGAATCTAATACAAATTATGTAGACGATCTCAAATAAGTTCTGCTCATTTTGTCTAATGGGGTCTTTGCAATAATCAAATTTCATGAGTAATTCCACACGTAAAAAAAAAAAAAGAAGTTGAAGACTAAATAAGAAAAACCTACTTCAATAAAGCAGAGAGACCAAGTGGCAACATTATTATGAAGCAATGTAAAGGCCAAAAACATGACAAAAGCTCAAGGAAATAATAACTGAAAAATTAATACAAGAAACTTGGGCCCAACATGAAATACATACCCCTGTCTAAAACAACACAGTCATTGTAATATATGTCATAACGGCTCAACCAACCACCAGTTCCATGCCCACCAAATAACATAAGCTGCAAAGACAAATTGTTTGTTAATGCTGGAATGGTATTTGGGAATCGAACTGCACATTCGTATTGAAACTCCAATCAATACTTGCACTTAATCTTTTTAAAAGATTTAGTCAAGACATTTACATGATTCTCTTCAGTAAATTTTTTTTTTTATATTGAGATTCACATAACACAATAATATCATGAACAAAATGAAACATTAATCTGATTATAGTCACTGTTATGACGAGACAGTTAGAATATGGCAACTAAGAAGACGCAAAGATTTAGATAGTTACGTAAGGGCCTCCAGAAGAGATGGTGTGTCCACAACGGGGGGAAGGAGCTTGACCTGGAAGCTTCAGTTGGGTCCATCCAGGTGCTTCATTCTCTTCCTTCCACAAGAAACACCAACAATTGCAAAAATAGATTTAAGTATGCGAATCGTAGTTCTCAAGAAAGGCACGTTAGATAAAGAAAACAGATCTTAATAGGGAATTAGCGCATAAAATAGTATCATGTATGTAGCCAGAATCGAAAACTACTGGCAGGTAATATTGACAATAGAAGAGAACAAAAAATGGACGTACGACTCCTCTGAAAGGAAAAGATGAAAGGAAAAAAATGACATCAGACAAACAAAGCAAATTCCTCCTAACTTGCGGAAGTGAGAAGCTATTACTTCAAACAATAAAGCCATTTTCATTCTAATGACCTGATTTATAAGAGCAGTTGTGAATTCAATTTCTTTAGGTTTTGACTGATTTAAAAATTTCACATTCTTAAACAAATTTTAGCACAGAGATTAAGCATTTCAAGAAAATATCTTCTGTGTAAGCATAGGTGCTGCTTATACTGAAGGCCCATAATTTGATTTGATATTTGGAAACATTCATCTAACAGATATTAACGGTGACGAGTCTTTCTGATGATTCTTCTACATGGAGGATTTAAAAAATAGGAAGCGAGATACCTTCTTTAATAAGCCCCTTTAAAGCCCATAGATCACCCATGATTGGCCCACCACCACCTGAAAAAGGTGAATGATAACTTAAATCCACGCATATCAGAAGTAGCTAAAATGTCATACCGAAGATTGTACCATGAGGCGAATGTATTCCCTTGGTCCGGATACGAATGTTATCGAAGGAAACCACACAATATTACAGTGAAATGAATGCCAAATTACCTCTACCACCATACATGAGCAACCGTTTCTCAATCATTGTAATAGAGTGGCCACATCTTGGTGGAGGAACTGTCCCTGTAACCGACAACTCCGTCCATTCAAGTGAAACTGTTCAAGAAGCAATAATATATCAAGGTGCTGACAATTCTGTATTAAAATGAAATAAACAACATAGCTTTTGGGACATAAAACATAGAGATTACTTGTGTCAAGTACGTAGACATCCGAGAGCCACTTTTTACCGTCCCAGCCACCATACCTGCATTGAATTTAGATGAAATAAGACAACAGGTGGATTAGAAAGCCGGTTAATATCACCAAGAAAGTCAGTCTTTAGTCTTTACATCACAATTTTACTGTTCCCAACAGCTGAAGCAGCTGCAAAATCCCGTGACGAAGGTAAGTCGCCGAAGCTGGTCAATTCTGACCATTGCCATATATCTGTGGCCAACAGGGAATAACTTTTAGCATTTTCATACTTGGTTCCATCATTACCAACTGTCTAAAAGGTGGAACTAGCTTACCAGTATCAAGAACCCAGAAATCGCCTAACCTGTAAATGACAAGATTTATTGAAAATAATCAAATTTAAACAAGCTTTAGTAATGAAGTTACACGAAAGATACATAAACATGAATATACAACAATACCTATTACCACCGGACCTCCCACCAAATATGAACATGTGACAATCGATCGCAACAGCAATATGGAAAGCACGTGGACTTGGGCCCACATTTCCATCAGAACCACTGCCCGTACACTCCGGCTGAAACCACATATTGTTGTCTGTAACATTCCACATTCATCAAACATTAAGACAAGAAAAATTTTGTCCATATACAGTTCATACGCTTATTATTATGAATTTACAAACTTAAGATGCATAACATATTGAATCAAATGTTTTCAATATATTGAGTTTCAGCTGATCGATCCGCTTATTCTAGGATAAGACGAATAAACTGCTAATACTCCCACAAAAACATGTTCAATTGAGCTACAGTGAAATATCAGCATAAATATTCCATTTAATAAACAGCATTGATCATAAACTGAGCACCAAGCATCCAACAGAATATAACAGCACGAAATCATAAACAGAAACAAGAATATATAGAATTTGCCTAATTTGCAGTAATACTTGATATCAAGCAAGTACTTGCAACAGCCCAGTAACTAATTATCGTAGAATTAAGTAATTAAAAAAAAATTACCAATGTCATAAACAGTGACGTCATTGAGGAATTTCTTGTCTACCAGACCACCGAAAAATACAGTTTTGGACTTTCCGATGTTCACAGCTGTGTGACCGCTGCAATTAGGGAAAAAACAAATTCAGAACACTTCTGATCGGATAAAAATTCATTCGCTATGTCGAAGCATTCAAACTGAAAAAAAAAATTATATATATAAATGCAATTGCCTTCGTGGTCGGGGAAGAGGTCCAGTGAAATCGGAATCAGAAGCTCGAACCCAACAATGGGTCTTCATTCTCTCTCTTCTCTCTCTCTCTCTCTCTCTCTCTCTCTCTCTCTCTCTTAATTTGCTTGTCAAAGAAATAGATTCATGGGGAAATTTACATTTTTTACCCCTCACATTTGCACTCATTTCACATTTTACCTCACAAGTTCACAAAAAACACATTTGGTCCGTCATATTTCAATAATTTAAGATTTTTAGTCATTTCCGTCAATCGTCAGGTAAGGCGGTGATGGATACCTGCTTCATTTCGTTAATACTAATGAAAAATTAACGAAAATGACTAAAAGTGTTGAATTTTTGAAATATAAGGGACCAAATATATTTTTTTATGAACATTAGGGACCAAATGTGAAATTATTGCAAAATACATGGATGAAAATTGTATTTTCCCCATTCATGGTTTATGAATCATATACATGATTGGATCCTATGACCTCCGGAACCAGTTGAATTATACCCATACGGGCTGATTTATGGATCTTGTTTACGTGGAATATGAGTCAATTGAATTGATTAATAGATAAATAATAAATAAATACAAATTGCTCTAATTTGTGTGCCCTAGAGTCGTGTTTTTTTGCTCTCATTGTGCCCTAGAAAGCGTGAATTTCAGTTCATCATTTCGAATCAAATTTCCTTCTTTTTTTGAATCAAAGTTCAATCATGTTTTTTACTCTTCAAACAACGCGTCAAGGAAGAACAATTCGAACGCTCACATGGATTTGAGGTATCTAATGTGTCCGTTATTATGTCTATTCAAAACAAAAGCATCAATACGAGTTGTTGAATCAAATGCAAAACCTTTTTTAGGCAAGCTATACTATTCGTGTGAATTTAGTAGATGCATTTTTTTCCGATAGTGTGCTCCCAATCGAGCAACTTCGGGACCAATTGTAGTGAAGGTACAATATCGAAATCGGGACGATAACGAAGTTGAGGATGACGATGTGCATGATGTAAATTATCTCCCAAAAAACTACGAGTGTCAGTGGAGTGGATGACGATGAGCCTGACGTTTCGTTTGAATTTCTTTGGCGTAATTTCGTATGTCGAGTTGAAGAAGAAAGAAATCATAAATACATTTAAAAGAACTTCAATTATCTCCACAAGACAAGAATAAAAAAAAAATCTTTAAACTCAATCAACATATGATTATTTTCATAAAACAAACAAACAAAACATTGTACACTTCATAAACAAAAACAAAACAAAAAAAAACCAAAAAAAAATATATAATACAAATCTTATAAAGAATAAAATATGGCTTAAATTTAATTTCATCACCTCCTCTGGAAATTGAGGTACTTGATACCATAAGCAAACACAAAGCAGAAGAAAATAGCCCAACCAACATGTGCTCCGGCCACAGCTCCCAAGAAGTCGTATTTATAGCCCAAAAATCGTTCCAAATACTCTTTGACCGGAATATCTCCGACAAGCCCAGGTACTTGAATCAAATCACTCTTGTCGCCTACTTGTGACGTCACCAGTCCGTATATCGTCCACGAAACTGGAGATGCCCAGTAATACCATCTCCACCATATCGGAATTTCCTGTTCGAATCAAATAAACCGTCAATTTTGTAGTCCTTTGAGTTGACTTTCTAATCGAACTTGAATCGGGTCGATTAGATGTCGGGTCGATTAGATGTCAGGTCGATTAGTTTTCGCATAATCACATTTGACAGTTCTGATATGCGAAAACTCAAAACATCAAAGTTGTAGCCCTTCGAATTGGGTTTCCAGCACAACTTGAATCAACTAAATTAGTGATCATATGAGAAAGTTATGCGTAATCTTGAATTACGGTACCGGTTAAAATTGAAACGACATTTGACATTTCAGTCACGCACCACTAAACTATTTATGAAAATAAATGTGTATATATATATATATATATATATATATATATATATACATATATATATATATATATATATATATATATATATATATATATATATATATATATATAAGTGGAATGCTTGAGATTTACGTACCGTTCGTGGAATGAGGAAGCCGGAGAATAAATTCCAGAAGCTGAGGAAAAACGACATGACGATTGCGGCGATTGCGTAATTTGGAGTGAGGGCCACAAGCATCATACCGTACGCCGTGAAGTAGATGAAGCACATAAACACGAAGAAATAGAACCAAAAGAATTTCTCCACCTTCCACTCGAACCCAATCATCGAGTAAAGGACAAGGCTGTACACGAAAGTCTGTATCGCTACGTAAATTGTCTCGATCGCCACCTGTCGGATAAAAATATATTTAGTTTTCTACACAACCATTTCAATATTTAAAAAAATATATATATATTATTCTCACCTGAGCAAATGCATAAGGTAAAGCCGAATACATTCCGGCAGCCTTTTCACGATAGAAAACAGTTCGTTCGACCGCTACGACTGATTGTACGGCAGAAGTGTTCGTGCCTCCAAGAAACATAACAGCAGAGTACATTGCTCCAAGTAGATTCATCAGATCTTGTTGCTTCGATCTATAAATTAAATAAAAAAAATTAAAATTTTTAATTTCGAGAATGAATATCGGAGAATCGATAGAAGAAAAGAGACTTACAATTGCGTGCCCTTGTTCCAAAATATGACTCCGAATATAATTCCGATAATCGTAGTCATAAAGAACCTACTGGAATTATACTGCGTATGCCTCCAGTACGACAAATGCTGCTTCCAGAAGCAAGCGTTGCACTGCGAACTGAAAGACTGTGCGTATTTATTCGGGAAATGTAAATCTTGCGAACCAGGTGCTGGAACACTCAGTTGTTTAATCAGTTCTTCGTTCCTCCTGTTATTAAATAAAAATATTACGGTGGGGTCCACGTAACACGAAACAACATCATTTAATAAAATTAAAGAAAAAAAATAATGCTGTATTTACTTGTGCAACTCAGAGTTGGTGTAAATTTCGGCAAAATCGACGTTGAGTTGAGCCTCAATTGCAGGAGTGGTGACATCGAGCATCCAGGTCGCGGGATTGTAACCTTCTTTGATCTCGGGAAGTCCAGGCACAGACTGTTTTTTTTTTTTAATTTAAGATATTAAATATTCATTTTATATAATATTTATATATTTTAGAGAAAATAAGGGTAGTTAGTAGTTAATTTTTTTCCCAGAATGAACAAACACTTACTTGAAAGTATTCGACTAAAAGACGAGAATGATGACCGAGTGGTCCACCGTAAATAACTTGTCCTCCTCTCTTCATCAACAATAGCTACAGAAAAGAAAATATATATATTACAATACAACTTTAGAATACTTCCTGGAAAAAAATTATTAAAAAAAAATATTAAAAAAAAAATAATAAAAAAAAAAATATTAAAATTTACCTCGTCGAAAGCTTCAAAAATATCTATACTGGGTTGATGAATAGTGCACACAACGGTTCTTCCCGTATCGACAGTGTTCCTCACAGCTCTCATAACAATAGCAGCAGCTCTAGCATCGAGCCCAGAAGTAGGTTCGTCCATGAAAATAATCGAAGGATTAGCAACTAATTCAACCGCTATTGTGAGCCTCTTTCTCTGCTCAGTCGACAAACCATCCACTCCAGGTAAGCCCACCAAAGCATTCTTCAACGGGTTCAACTCAATCAACTCCATCACTTCCTCGACAAACATCTACATATTAAAAAAAAAAAAGGAATGGGAAACTTCGTTCGATGTGAAATAAGTAAATTAATTTTCAAGAATCGGGTTTATTTACTTTTCGTGTTTCTTTATCAACGTCGGGAGAGAGACGGAGCCAAGCGGAGTACACAACGGACTCGTAAACGGTGACGTGAGGAGAGTGGATGTCGGTTTGTTCGCAGTATCCGCTGACACGTGCAAAGGTGGATTGATTCTTTGGGTAACCGGAGATGCTGATGCTGCCTTCGATTTGCCCGCCAGTTTTTCTTCCCGCCAAAACATCCATCAACGTTGTTTTGCCGGCCCCGCTCACGCCGACCAAGGCTGTGAGCACTCCGGGCCGGAATGCTCCGCTCACATTTCTTAGTAGTTGGAGGCGAGTTTCTTCCATCCCGGTTTTTTTCATTTCCTATGAAATAAATAAATAAAATTATTTACTGACGTGTTGAATATACTAAAAGAGTGGTTTTTTAATTTTATTTTGATCGACTAGATAAGTAACTGAAATGCTGAATGTCGTTTCGTTTTATACTGGTACCGTAAATAGCAAGATTATGCGTAACTTTTTCGTCTGACCACCGATTTAGCTGATTCAAGTTGAATTAGAAAGACAATTCAAAGGGCCACCACTTTGATGTTTTAAGTTTTTCCATATTCAGACTGTAAGACGGTTAAAATCACGTTTAAAGTAAACTTATTGTGGGTTTTAGGGCAGTGTACATTCATTCATTCACGCATAACTCTCTCACCCGACATCAGACTTAGCTTATTCGAGTTAAATTAGAAAGTCAACTAAAAGGACTACAAATTCGATACTTTGAGTTTTGCCATATTCCGACAGAAAAAAAGAGTAAAAAAAATCACATTTTGAAGTCAGAACGGTACTAGTAAAATCGAAACGATGTTTAGCACCTCCCGATAAGTAAATATGTAATTATTTTTTTCTTGCATTTTAAATCGTAGAAGAAGTGACTTACAGCTGGCATGTCGACGTAGTAGTTGACACGGTCGAACGCTAGTGACAAGGGGGTGAAAGGAAGCACCATTCCTTTTCTTCCTTCGGATTTATTCCTCATAGGAATAGCTTTGCCAACGCTTTCCTTCTTTTTAGTATCTTCGTCCACAGTAACAGATCTCGAATCTCCAAATGCTACACCAGTTTGCAATAAGCGGTCAAAAAATAAATAAAACAATCAAATTTCCCATGCAGAAGGAGCAAAAAAAAAAACGAAAAAAAGGTTAATCTTACGATTTAGGTACGTCAGTGCGAGAATGAATAAGACGTTGAAGATAATCGAGAATGCAAACAGAGCAATAACGCAGACCCAGTACATATAGTCCTCCGTATACATGCCCCTCATTTTAAGAAGAACTTTTCCGACTGTTGGTTCGGTAAACCTTTCATCGATGTTAGGCTGAAAAAAAAAAGAGAATGATATTACTTAGTCGAACGATACAAAAGTCGATTATCCAGTTATACAGATTACTATTATTAGCACAAGAACTTACTGCGCTCCATCTTTTATCAAGAAACTCGTTTATGGCAATAGCATTCTGACCGTACATCATAGGAGAAAGATAAAAGCCCCATATCATCCACGGTTTAATGTCGTCTGAAGTGTGCGAATTCAGTTAGAGCGTCGAAATTCAAAAAATCAAACAAAACTATTGAAATAAATTTTTAATAATAAAATAAACAATACCGACCTTTTGCAATAATAAAACCACCAAGAACAAAGACCATTAGCAAACTGAAGGTAGCCAGTACATTTGCAACAACCTGCGTTCGTCCAATTGCAGCAAGAAATCGGAACAGAGATAAAGCCATCTGATGCAGAGCAAAGAACGCCAGAAATTGTCGGAAAAACCTGAAAAATCAAGAAAAACAGAGTTAATAATTACTGGAAAGAAAAAAGAAGAAAGTCGACATTTTTAATGTTCAGATGAATGCGAAAGGTAATTTACCTATCAGCACCGGGAGCAAATCCGATTGTGTAATAAGTAAGAACAACCCAAATCATAGATTCCACCAACGAGAGCGGGATTTTAAGAAGCCAAATCGGTAAAGAAAAAGCCCAAGCAGGGTAAAACAGAGCATCCCTCTGTTTGAAGAACACAGGGAGTCGAAGAACCGTCAACGCCAGCTCAGCAGTTCCGTTAAACATCACATTAATAAGACTGAAAAACAGAGCACCGTAGAATTTCCCTCCATCGATCAACGACCCAGATTTCATCTCCGTCCGGAAGAAAACCGTGAAAGTGATCAAAGACATTATAGTTATCTGGAAAATCTTGAATATGTACAAGAACGAGTTTCTCTTTATCAAGAGCCACTCCCTCGCCAAATTCGCCTTCAAAAGCTCCATGTTCGAAATCCCGTATTTTTCGGTGACCAATGCAGCTGGATGTGCTTTCGTTTTGTCGTAAGGTACAGCCAGTTCATCGCATATCTTCTGTCCTACGTGGAAAGAGCTGAAGCAGTCGACAAACTCCGCCACCGAAATGAACCGGTAAGGCTCGTCTTTCTTGAACCAGTACTGCTCTTGGTCCTTTACGGAAGTGACTTCTTGTAAGAAATCCGCCACTCCTTTTCTATCGGGGCATTTGAATCCGACGCTCTCGAAAAACTCGAGGATGTTTTCTCGGGGGCCTTGGTAGATGACCTGTCCTTCTGACAGCAAGATGATGTCATCGAATAGCTCGAAAGTTTCGGGTGCAGGCTGGAGGAGGGATATTATCATTGTCACATCCATGATATGAACCATCTGTCTCATGTACTTGATTATTTGAAACGTGGTCGAACTATCGAGACCGGTCGAGATTTCGTCCATGTAGAAAACTTTCGCGGGTCCCACCAACATTTCACCTACATTTTAAGGACAACAGATTAAATTAAACACATTGAATCAAACTAAAATTGATAGCCAAAAAAAATTATCTTTACATACCAGTTGTGAGACGTTTCTTCTGTCCACCGGAGATTCCTCTTCTCATTTCATCTCCGACTAATATATCAGCGCATATATCTAATCCAAGAATCTGTAAACCCATAACAATGCAAGATTAATTTCAGTATCCGAGTTCGAAAAAAAGCATAAAAACACGTATTTTAAAGAAGGAAAAAAAACGAACCTTAAGAACATAGTCCGTTTCAAGACTAGATTCTTGGCCAGATACAGCTGTGGCCTTCATGAATGCATCGATTTCCGGGTCGGGTTTAATTCCGGCCTCTTTTTCTCTTCTAGAAAGTTCTACGAGGAGGTCGTATCTTGTCCCGACACCTAAGCAACGCCCCGAAAAATCTAGTGTCTCTCTTACAGTCATCTCTCCGTGGTGAAGGTCGTGTTGGCTTATGTAAGAGCATGTCCTCTGAGGAATGAATTCCGACAGCTCGTGACCACAGTAAGTGATATTTCCATCTACCTATAAAATTTAGAAAAAAAATAAAAATAAATAAGTTACATTTCGGAAGAGAGCGCCAAAAGAGAAGACGTGTTTGTGTAATAAAAGTTTTCAAACGATGACAAACCCGAAGATCGTTGTCCAGCTTCCCGGCAAGAGCCTTGAGCAATATAGTTTTCCCCGAGCCAGGTGGTCCGAGAAGTAGTGTCATCCTGCATTAAATTTTTTTATTATTACTTTTCTCTAATCTCATCGAATACAATTCCCTCTATTGACATTTATCAAATATCAGATATTTCTCGAGATAATAAGATTAAATTTTCGGACAAACCTTGAAGGTTTTACAACTCCGCTGATATCGTGGAGTATTTTGACGGCCCTTTTCTTCGAAGGTAGAATCTTTATTTTTTCAAAGATTCCCTGTAGACGAAAACGAAAGAAATCTTGAGTGAAACTTGAATGCCCATTATATGCAGCTAGCAGTACTACGAAAAGAAATATATCTATATATGTACATTCTGTGTGAAACTATACTTGCAGAATATAGCACATAACCAATCCAAAAACAATAATATAAAGGAAGATATTGCATTTTAATTGCACGAAATTTATTATGATTATTAGTATTACCTCGACCAGATTCAAGGCAGAGTTCAAAATAGTAGGAAGTGCCCTCGATCCAACATATGTATCTCCTTCAATCGAAAGATGCTCAAAACGAACTTCCACTTTCGGAACATCAATTCCAACCCTATTTACCAATTAAAAAAAACATAAACAACATATTTTCAAAAAACATAATTCGACGAAACTCATCTATACACACACACACACATGCACGCAGATTGAAACTGTTATTTCACCTGTCAGTTCTATCTCTGAGCCTCTGCAAGAACCTCTCATTATCATCATCAACAACTTTGAGTATATTCTCCAGTAGATGCTTCTTTTCTTGAATTCCGAGATTGGCAAAATCGACCTCCTCGCGAACGATTTTACCGTCATCCATCACTTGCTTGAGAATACCTTTCCTCGTACGATCGTAAGTCGGGAGCCTCTCAATGGCGGCCCACATAAGCTCCTCTTGATCATCGTATTCTCTCCCACTTCTCTGAAAAGCATCTTGCCCCGGTGCAGTGAAAACCTCCCTCACACTAGCCGAAGCCCAACTCCTAGTGCTCACAGATGCGAAACTGATCCGCCGACTGGCGGATCTGCGGCTGAGTGACCTGGCTGCCGCCAAGTCCTCCGCAGCAAGTGCCGCCATGGTTTTCGACTTCAATGCCAAGATTCACCTCTTCCCTAATTCAAATCCCACAATTGGGAACAATTTCTAGTTTTGGTGGTACTTGTTTGAATAAAGCTGCAACAAAAGAAGGTTCTAAAACATCAAAAATCCAATCTTTTTAGAAGATTGATTGTACAAGTTTGAAGTACACCGACAATCTTAAACTTGCAGCAAACATCATTCTTTCTATGTAACCACAAATTCAGATCTTTTCAATAGGAAACAACCTCAAACCTTAATAATATGTAATAACACAGAGATCATCAGACATTCTTGAAATAAATTAAAAAAGAAAAAAAAAAAAAAAGGAAAAAGCAGAATAGGAAATACTTGTTTAATCGGACCCATGTGCAAAAAAAAATTAAAATTCTTTACTTGAATCAAGAGAAAGATAAAGGAAACTCACTTGAATCAAGAACCCATAAACAAAAATCAATCCTTTAAGCGAATCCCCTCAAGCCCATATACAAAAAAAATAAAATAAAAATCGAGTCTTTAAATGAATTCCCTCCGGCACATGTGATTATATACTTTCAAGAATATGCATGAGCATGAATATATATTACTAATACAAGTGGTGCAGCAGCCTGCAGAGAGAGAAATGCAAGGCGGCTCAAAAATAAACCACTATTAACAATAATAATAATTATTATTATTATTATACTTCCCCCACTAATACAAAAAAAAAAAAAACACCAATTAATTAAAAAAGTGTTAAAACTTAAAACTTAATCTATTGGTGTGGGGTTTTGTTTATTCTCACAAAGTGTGTACACTACGACTAAGAACTGAGAATTTAAATATTCTTGATATATATTTGTTGTGGGACACACACACACACACACACACACACACACACACAGTACAGTGTGTAAAAGGGAAAGGAACTCTTGACAGATTAATCTTGAAATAGTGTTGGGCAAATATTAGAGAAATAGCAGCCAATTTAGAATAATAGATCAAGTGGGTAACAAAATCCCAAATCACAAGTTTATTTTCTCAGAAACGTTTAGCCGTCTAGAAGATTGAATTAGTCAAAGGGTTGACCATCTAGAAGAGTATTATGTGCATTTATTTGAGAGTTTTAAATTATTTATTTTATTTTATTATCTCAACAATGAAAACACTTGAAGAATTTGCAATAGGACTAATAAATAATTAGGTTGAGCAATGGCGTAATGGGAAGGTCAAGGAACATGCCAAATATGGTTTCAAGTTATATTCACTTTTAATATTGAAAATATACAAATCCAACATTATATTAAAAATAGAGAATTTGGAGTTTATATAAAAAATAGAGGATAAAATCAAGAATCATATTTTATTTTTTTACCTACAGGGTAACAGGATAGAATGTTAAATTTAAAGTTTAAAAATAAAAAATCTAAGAAAAAAGGTCAGTTGATATTTAAGGCTAAGTCAGCAGTCACTATCATATGTGCACGACTATTGCGGCTATTAAATTAGCCCATAGCGTTATGGGCACGATAAGGGTCCGTTTGGCCTAATTTGTTCGGCGTAGCTGCTGATAAGTTCTTAAATCTGATAAGTTATACGTTTTATTTTTTTTAATTATTTTTTAAAATGTTAGGATAGTGATCTTATAAGTTATTTTTACTCGTTATAGTATTTTTAAAAAAAGTTGGGTAGAGTTATTTTTGCTTTTCAACAACTTGTTAACAGCTTAACCGAACACCCTCTAACTAGCAATTATGGTCGACCCCACCCCACTACTCAGATGTAATGTGGTAATACTTAAATTGAAGTTATATATGTCATTAAATATGATAGAAAATGTCATAGTTTCATTAAAATGTCATTTAATGGGTATATAGCAATAGATACACCATCGAAACTAATGATCGTATCATATTATCTAAAATTTACATTAAATTAAATTTAAATGGTTGGTGATTATTTTCCCTTCAAATACAATTTTGTCCGAATAGTTTATTTAATGCTACATTCAGTGAATTTTATAAGGTTGCATATTCTAGTTTATATCATATATGTGTGTAGATTCTTGTATATATATTTTTATGATTATATATATACATATGTGTGTGTGATTTATTAAGTATGCATTGAATTTCAACCAATTGATTTTTTTAAAACCACAGACATTTTCAACATGCTAGTTAATATATATAATTTTAATTAATTTTTACTAATTCCAAATTATAAAAATAATAGGACCCAACGTGTTATTTTCCATAAATTGATAAAAAATAATGAGTTGTATAGATTCCAAATCAGTGGTCAAAATAAAGCCAATAAGTCCTAATTAAATATTAATTTGTGTGACACCCAATTCAAACCCCTATCCATTTATGTGGAGCCCATTTCAATTTTTTTTTTTTGAGAAAAGAAAATTTTCATATCTGAGCATTGATTCAACTATTACAATGTTTTGAATTTCCAGTGGCAAAGAACCGGAAAGAGTCGGATCTTTAAAAGACAACTGAGCTAAAGTATGAGCAGCACCATTCCCATTCCGACGGATATGGAGAGTAGAGAAAACCTCGAAACATGGTATAATAGCATGAATGTCCGCAATAAGATTTCCATATGGCGATCGATCCTCGTCCTCGCCTTCAATCGCCTTGATGACCACTGTAGAATCGCCTTCAATAACCACTTTCCGCCAGGCTTTGTCCCGAGCCAATTCAACCGCCAGCAAAGCTGCTTTTGCTTCTGCTGAAGTAGGATCTAGAGGCTGATGAATGCAAATCGACATCCAACCCACACAACCACCACAATGGTCTCGAGCAATGATCCCCACACCAACTAATCCATCATTGGCGTTAACGGCTGCATCAAAATTAATTTTAATGACGCCCGTACTAGGCAACAACCATCGACTATCGGACGTTACTCTTAGAGCCTGATTTGACAAAACTCTAGCAGAGGGTTGTCGAAGCTGGTTCATAAATTTTTGCGCGAGTGAGATAGTAGTAAGAGCGTCCACCTCTTCGTCTTCAAATAAGAAGCGGTTGCGATAGAACCAAATAGCCCAACAAACAGTCACACACATCTCAAAACCTCCGGTATCCGTCAATTTTCGCATGTTAGCAAACCAATCCACCATATCGTTCCCCCGCCACTGATACACGCTCCAAGGAATATTACTCAAAGCCCAAACTTGCCTCGCAAAGGAGCATAACACAAAACAATGCCGCAAGTCTTCATCATCAGCTCCACATATTCCACAACAAGACTCTGATGTTACCTTACGTCGCCGCAAATTAGTTCTAGTCGGCAACAAATTTTTACAAACTCGCCAAACAAAAAATTTAATTTTATTTGGGACACTCATAGACCACACCCATTGCCATGTATTAAGTAAAGCACCAGAGGAGCTACTCGCCGCTTGATTCGCTCTTTCATTTTCCAGCCGAACGGCAAGGTGGTAAGCACTACGAACTGTAAACCTCCCATTACGCTCATAGTGCCAAACTTGTGTATCCCCATTGCAAGCCCGTCCTAATGGAATTGAGAGTATAGTTTTCCTATCTTCCTCCACAAAGCAATCCCGAAGTAACTCCGCGTTCCATTGATTAGTGTTATTAAGGATAAGATCACTAACCTTCCAGTCGGAAGGGAAACTCCCCATTGGTGAAATAGGTCGGAAAGTGACTTCACTAGGAAGCCACTTATCTTTCCACACCAGTATCGACTTGCCATTACCAACTCGCCATCGAAGACCAGCCTCGAGAATCCTTTTAGATCCCAAAATGCATCGCCAAGTGAATGAGGGGTTTGGGCCAAGTTTAGCACCAAGCACATCCGAATTTGGAAAATACCTTGCTTTAAAGATGCGTCCCAACAGGCTGTTGGGTGTAGTGAGCAGCCTCCATAGCTGTTTAGCAAGGAGTGCCATGTTAAAAGCCTCCAAGTCTCTAAATCCAAGCCCTCCTGATTGCTTGCTTTTACACAACTTGCTCCACTTAGACCAATGAATTCCATGCCCTTTGCTATCCTCCCACCAAAATTTATTCATCAGTTGTTCAATATCCTTAGAAAAGTAGGTTGGCAATTTGAAACAACTCATAGCATATGCCGGAATAGCTTGTAGCACCGCCTTAATCAAAATTTCCTTCCCCCCCTTGGATAACCATTTCTCGTTTCATCCTTTAAGCCTCTTGCACACTCTATCTTTTATGTTGGAAAATATGGTCCTCTTTGATTTACCGATAGCAGCTGGTAAACCTAAGTACTTATCGTGTTTCTCCACAATTTCCATCGGAAGTACACCTTTAACTTCTTCAATCGTTTCATTCTTAGACGATTTGCTAAATACAATGCTCGATTTTTGGAAATTAACTTTTTGTCCCGACGCCATCTCATAAACCTCAAGTATATAATTAATCGTTTCTGCCGAGTGCTTGTTTGCATTACAAAAAATAATTGTGTCGTCGGCAAACATAAGATGCGATATAGATGGAGCTCCGTTGCAAACCGCTAAACCCTTTATATTCCCACTCGTTTCCTCCCTTTTAAACAAAGCACTAAGATGGAGCCCATTTCAATTAGCAGCCACTAAGAATTATTCATGCCAAGGGTGCAAAATCGAAATAAAAAATAAATAAATAACAGTAATAGTAATAAATAAAAATACCACTTGGTTAAATAATCACCCATTAAACACACGTATACATACGTATTTATGTGATTATGTTCAGGTCAACAATAAATAATCACTCAAATAACTCGTTGCAAACAACCTTCTAGCCGAGAGGCCGGCCGTAAACTCAACAATGCTATTTTTACTAGGTACAAATTTTAGTAAATTAAAGTTGTTTATTAATTATTAGTACAAAAAATGAAACTTTCTATAAGTTTAATATATTATATTTTGAAAATAAATATAAAGTTAAGAATAGTGTCATTTTAATATTCCGTCATATGTAGTGGGAAATAATTGAAGAAGACAATAATATAATAATAAATTTAAAAATAATGATATAATAGTTTTAGTCGACAACTTTGAACCATGATTTTTTGGTCTTATTCTTCTCATCTTGACCAATAACTAACATGGAATATTCCATGAGCAATTCGTTTATTCTATGCTAACTCAAGAAAATAATAAGTTGATAATTCTTTATTCACATTAATTAACATGCCCTTCAATTATATATACCATGCTATAAATGTAAGTTGTAACATTGTAGTTGTATCACTTTCGATTTCAGAAGTTCACCATCAATTGGTAGTTGATTTCTGAAATCTATTACCAATATATTTTCAAAACTTTACCGCCAATTTCTACAAGTTCTTGCCATCTTTTAAAAGTTCATTTTTATATTTTGTTAAAATATTCATTTTTTTTCTTAAGTTTACTGTCGATTTTCATAAATTTACAGCAAATTTTCAGAAGTACATAAGTTTTTTGCTTGTTTTTATAAGTGTACTGTTATGTATTTTTTAAACACTCGAAGCACAACAAGTTTAGTGCCAATTTTCATAAAATTTTTAAGTTATAAACGACATCAGATTGCAAAAATTGACATGTTTCATATAACTACTTTTCAGTTTTTTTTTTTCCCTGTCAGTTCGTTGTGTGATCGAGTGAACTTTCATCAAACTAAAAATATACGGGTCAATATTAGCAAATTGTCCACATCTAGGGACTATTATCTAATCTCCCCTTAACAATGCTCGATCCGTAAGAAATTCATTGCAATAATGCAGATAGTAAATAAGCTTCTTAAAAAAAAGGTAAATAGCATTTTACCCAATTGTAGTTTGAATTTTGTGCACATAACTCCATTGTACTTTTAATATAGCACATGACCCCCTTGTATTTTAATATAAGCACACAACCACCCCCTTTTTACTTTCAAAAATTTCATCGTCCTAATGAACATGATTATTTAACAAGTTGAATACCATAGGGGGGTTATATGCTTATATTAGAAGAACAAGAAGGTCATGTGTGTAAAGTTCAAACTACATGGGGTCATGTGCTTATATTAAAAGTACCAGGGGGTCATGTGCATAAAGCTCAAACTCAAGGGGCTTAAGTGCTAAAAATTGCAAAATAAGAAAACCAAAACAATGAAATAGTAGTTTCTGGGCTGCAACCCATCTGCATTGGGCTTTTCGACATTGTACGGTGACCCAATCCACCCACTAATAATTTTTGATCCAATTTCACAAGGATTGTCATTATTTTTTAATTTTTTTTTTAGTTTTTTTTTTATTTTTAATTTTTAAATTTTAGTTTTTAATTTTTATCAATTACATGGGTTATAATTTCGGGTCTTTTAAGGAATATAAAGTTTAGATATTTGCATAAGAGACCAACTTTAAATGTATCATATTGTTACAAGTGATGATATGAAATAAATAAAAAAACATCCACGAAATGCCTTTTGTTTTATATTAATTAATTTTAGGGTAAATTACACCCACACCCCTGTGGTATGCTTAAATAATTTTAAGGTCCCTATGGTATCGATAATTACACTCATCGCCTGAAACGTAGTTAGAAACTCTAACGGGATAATGCATTGGATACATTATTCCGATAGAGTTCTAATGGACTATTACTTTTAGCTAGTGGTGGAGATAAGATAGAGTTATGGGGAGTTATGGGGTGACATGGCTCCCCCAATATTTCTTAATTCACCCATAACTCTTTGTTGTCTCCACCACTTCCTGAAACCAATAGTCCGTTAGAACTCTATCGTAATAACGTATCCAATGCATTATCCCATGAGAGTTTATAACTACGTTTCAAGGGGGTGAGTGTAATTATCGATACCACAGGAACCTTAAAGTTATTTAAGCATACCTCAGGGGTGTGGGTGTAATTTACCCTTAATTTTAAATTGATCTCGCCCGACTTATTACACTTGGTCAAATTATTGTAACGTGACCTGGATTTAAAACATAGAAGACTTGGCCATGAGACAAACATTTGGAAGACTAATATATTTCAAGATTATTTTAATTTTTTTTAATTACATTTTGTTTTTTCCCCAATGTTTGTTTGTTGATTTCAATTTCCTCATGAAATAAACAATTAATTCATTTAATGGCAATTTTAAAATACCTCTATTGCAACTTTTTTTGTTAAGATTTTATAATAAGTAAAAGTGTTCAAACACTTTAAATATCAATTTTAAAAATAAGATGTAACAATTTTTCAGCTCTCATATCAGATGTCAGAGTAAGCTTAATCGAACGGGCCCTACGATACCAATTTCGCTAACGACATGCTTGAATTTTTCAGTTCAATTTGGATGCATAATATATCGTACATTCGGCACTTTAAAAATAATAAAAAAAATAATTTGATATATACTTTAATTAAACTATTTAAAAGAAGCCAAAAAACTTAAGGGCACGTATGGGCCATGACTGAATTCAAGTAGCCGGCAGAATGACCCAATCTCATAACTGCCGGCCCAACACATTCCCAACTATATATCTTCATTAATTGTACTCTATTATTATTACAAACTTTAATTATTAAGATATATATGTAAAATATATAAAAAATAAAAATATACTTATGGAATCCAAATTTGGTACTAACTTAAGCTCTGACACCACCTGTACAACCATGTCGTCGTGCATCGAATTCAACGCACATTTTGGTGATGAATTCGATGCAGATGTCAAAAACAGTATCGAGATGAATAATCTCGATTGTACGAGTTTCGCGTCCGATATAAAAATTGAATTTATTACGAGTTCCGATTCCGAGTGCAGTGAGCTCGACAAGAATTTGAAGCACGACAACGACTTGTCGAACCTCGTGCTTGATGACTTCAACTTTGTGCAACGGTTGGGGAGCGGCGATATAGGCACCGTGTACCTAGTGGAGCTTAGAGGCGGCGGCGGCGGTGGTGGTGGTGAGTTGTTTGCAGCTAAGGTGATGGATAAAGAGGAATTGGCTTATAGGAATAAAGAGAGTAGGGCAGGGGTAGAGAGGGAAATACTCGAAATGTTGGATCATCCCTTTTTGCCCTCACTCTACGCGACGCTGGATTGCCGTAAGTGGTCGTGTTTGTTGACGGAGTTTTGTCCAGGCGGCGACCTTCACGTCCTCCGGCAACGCCAGCCGGAGAAGAGGTTCGATGAAGATGCTGTCCGGTGAGCAAGTGTTTTCATATACACTTGTGATTAAATCTTTACAAGTTTGTAACATAAATTTCTAATATATAACAATTGGTTAAGCAAATTAGCAATAATAATAATAATAATAATAATTAATATATATAATACTTACGTTCTTACGAATATTATTGCAATATAATAATGAATATACAGTAGAACCTCCATAAATTAAGAATATCACTTAAACAATATTTTCTTCCGATCCCAAATCGATAAAAATATATTAAATTATTACTTGGATAATTTAATATTTCACTAAATTAATAGATTTTGTTAATTCCGATCGTATATTGATTTAAAAAGTTTTAATGATCAGGTTTTATGCAGCAGAAGTGGTGGCGGCGCTTGAATACCTACACATGGTGGGAATAATATACCGTGATTTAAAACCAGAAAACGTGCTTGTGAAGCACGACGGCCACATAATGCTTACCGATTTCGACCTCTCTTTAAAATGCGACTACAACTCATTATCGACACCAACAATCGTCTACGATTATTCTCCGCCGTCGCCGGCGCCGCCGCCGGACGATCGCAACAGTGCAGACGGCCGCGGCCGCCCACGATTGTTCTCCCTCTCGTCCTGCATCCTGCCGAACTGCGTCTTGCCACGCGGCGCCCCCCGCCTCCTCCGGCGGCGGCGCCGGCGGGTCAAGCACCGCCGCGGCGGATTAATTACAACCCCAAAGATAGTGGCGGAGCCGGTGGAGGCTCGATCAATGTCGTTCGTGGGGACGCACGAGTACCTGGCGCCGGAAATAGTCTCCGGCGAGGGGCACGGCAGCGGCGTGGACTGGTGGACGCTGGGGGTGCTGGTGTACGAGCTGCTGTACGGGACGACGCCGTTTAGGGGGGCGGAGCACGAGTTCACACTGGCTAACATTGTGGCTCGAGGGGTCGAGTTCCCTAAGGAGCCGGCTGTGTCAGCCGGTGCTAAGGACTTGATAAGCCGGCTTCTGAACAAGGAGCCGACCAAGAGAATGGGGTCCACCATGGGTGCGGCGGCGATTAAGGACCACCCATTCTTTCGAGGGGTAAATTGGTCACTTTTGAGGTGCACTAAACCACCGTATATCCCAACGCCTTTTAATCGTAGGGCCCTTGTTTCATCTGATAATGATGATCATTTTCATGGTAATATAGATTATTTTTGAAGTTTATTATGATTTTTTTTTAATTGAGTGTAATCATATTTTATTTTTTGAGAAAAAAATTCTATTGGCATTGTTAGTATATTTTCCTTGATTTAATGGGTGGTTTTAATTTTAATAATGAGATCCGATGGTATGTGTGGCTGAGCCAATTTAAGTTCGGTTCACATGACCCGATTGTCAGCCCTAAATTTTACAGAAAAGAAAAACGACAACTAATTTTTTTAAAAGCTTTCAGTGGCCATCTTATCACGGTCTATGAGATGCTACATCTGGTGAAAAACATCAGGTGATTTTGCACTACCGCATAATACAAATAATCACCTACTAAGCATACATACACATAAATGTGTGTGAGATATTATATGTTGAATTATAGGTCAATAGTGCAAGATCATCCAATGCATTTCACCGAGTGTAGTATCTACAAAACCAGATCGGCATAATTTTGTGACAAAAAAGGATTTAAGATTTTAATTGCATAGCAAAACATTGTAAAACTGTTGTATTTACATTTTTTGTAAGTTTGACTAGAAAACATAGAAGAATATTTGATATGTTTCGTAATTGAAAAATGTGTATACGACACACCCCATAATTCAGGGATGCAATGGTCATCTTATCACGTATAATTTTGTAATCTTGAAAAAGTCGAAACAATAGTTTAAAAAATATATATTCAAAACCAATCCACATATACTTGCAATACTTCCATAGTATATGAAATGAGAATAGTAGTTTAATGAAATTGTATACACCAAATAATAAAGGAAATTGCATGTTATTTGAAGTGAATCTAACCAGATTGAATAAAGGAAAATTATAATTTAATAACTAATTATGAACATGACACAAAATATATAATACATCTAGTGAATGCGTTCCATTAATTGTACAGTTATTTTTAATTGGGAATTGTTAGTAAAGAACTTTGCTATAATTTGTCAAGAAAATATTCACTTATATTTAATACTGCATTTGGATTGAGGAAGGATTGAAGGGATAACTTAATAATAAAATTAATTTAGTGGCTACAAAAAAATCTTTTTTTAGAAATAATGTATTTTAAGCTAAATTATTTATTATTAATTATAGGGTAAATTACAAACACCCCCTGAGGTATGGTCAAATTACAAAAACACCCCTCTTGTTTGGATAATTACAATCACCCGCTCAGCTCTTCAAATTTAGTGGAATCTTCGAGATTATATGAAATATTATCATGTTTGTACCCGTTTTATATCATTCAAACTCTACATTATGAAGTAACATGATCATAATATGTGATTTTTAGCTTGTGTATATCAGTTTGTAGTGCATCGGAAACTGTATTTTTACACAAAACGAATACAAACTAGAGCACATTCCACGGAATCTAGATGATTATATTGAATTTGGCACAATAAGGGTGGAGATGTAAGAAAAAATCATAATTGAGGGGGGTAGATGTAATTATCCAAACAAGAGGGGTTTTTTGTAATTTCACCATACCTCAGGGGGTTTTGTAATTTACCCTTAATTATATAATGTATATGAAGCTTCAAAGTTGAATAATTTCGATTTTTTGCAATAATTTCTTTTTAAGGGAACTCTTAGAATAAGCCACGTAGGCAGTTAAGAGGGGTAAAAATGAAAACTTCCTTTTTTAAAATTCGATAGACATAATTAACTTAAGATGCCTAAATAAAATAAAAATAATAATTACAACAAAATTAATTAAAATAATAAATAAGTATATAATAACCAAGAATAAATCCAGTTCAGAATCTATGCACCTCCACATTCACAAAATAAAACCCTTTCAGAGTTTTGCTCCGGCGAGAGGACAAACTTCCGACGCCGTACTTTTCATCTTTCCGGCAATCGGTACAGCCTAGAAAGATGCCCCGGAAAGTACAAAATCCACCAGAATTTGTCCCAACCGATAAATGCATAGCGTGAGCACACCTCTCTCTCTCTCTCTCTCTCTCTCTCTCTCTCTCTCTCTCTCTCTCTCTCTCTCTCTCTCTCTCTCTCTCTCTCTCTCTCCACAGATTTCATGCATGTGTGTGTGTGTGTATTTGTATCTATATATTTTTGGTTGATATATAGGCATGCAGAGAGAAGCCCACATCTGACTGTGTGTTTATGTGTGTGTTTTGTTTGAAGCATGGATTTGAAGAAGATGGATACAGACTCACTCAACCGAATGCTGCTCGATCGCATTCAAGAACTCGAACGAAAAGTATTAGTGTTTTTAATTTTTCTTAATTACTTTTCTTTTTTATGATTTTACTATTGTGGATCTTTTATTTTTTATTTTTTATTTATTCATATTCATCTTGTTGAATTGGGTTTTGAATTAATTGAGATGGTTTGATCTGAAATTTAAGCTTAATTAAGTTAAACTAATTAAGTAATTTTTAATTTTTGAGTAATTTTGAGTTGATTCTGTTCTATTGATTGAGTGGGATAAAGGGGGGCCTACGATCTAACATCGAGGGTAATAATCGGGACATAAACGAGTTAATGTTAACGACATCACTTATGAATACGGATATGCTCGTTTATCTTGTTTATATATCGATGTTTATATGTTTGTCGGATTAGTAAGTTCATGCATATACAAGTCTACGGTTTTCGAGTCGATTGAGATATTATATTTAAGCCTTTTACTTCATTTCTTGGGATGGAAAATAGGTCGAAACACAAATTTTCGGTTTTTGCGTTATACGACTGATTTACTTAATATTTGCTTGTAGGGTTTGGTAGATCACAATTTTCGACAGTGCTACTTGTTGAAAGAGATCAGTAGTCTGACATTTTTCTTGGACCTGATTGTCGTATTTCTCGATGATGTTCACACGGTGGTGAGAGCTATGGCAAAAACATTGTATGTCTAAATTCTCACTATATATATGTGTATATAGATATATATTGTGTGCTGGCATTTGTATTTTACGTATTTTTTTACGCGTGAAATTTGGTTTTTCCTTGTTCGTTATTTACTAGGACTCAACCAGTTGTGAACTACGATGAAATGTATTCGCATCATATCAAGCTTAAAGGAAGTTCTTCATGGTATTATTTCATACTTTATTATTCTCTTCCCTAACATATATTTAATAGATAAAGAGATCGTTTTTTCGTGCCCGTTTTTCTCTATTTAATTTTTCGGGGACTTCGTTAAATGTGTATTTTAATTTGAATGCTTAAATACGAGAGAGATATCCTAACGCATATTTATGCATGCTCTTGTATTATATTTGTTTTACAGTATCGGTGCTTGTCGAATTAAAGATGCATGTTTCAAAATACGTCATGCTATCGAGAGCAATTCCAAAGACGGGTACGGTTTTTTCCGAAGTTGCACTACTTTTTTTTTTTAATTATTCGATTTTGTTTGTTATTGTCGGTAAAAGTCGTTAATCTCCATCAATATGATATCCTGAGCTTATATATCTGGTCTGGAATTCAGTAAAATCGAAAGAATTTTTTTTTACCTTTAGCCCGTAGGAAGACGAACAAGAATCCGGAGAAATAATGAAAATCAAAATGATAATCTGAATATTAGGAGATTCGATCAATGATAAATGATATTTAATCTTTACGAGAGTCGTAATCAATTAATTGGCTAACTCAACTACTCAATTAGCACTACGTGTTCTTTATTTTCGGGCTCTTTCATTTTTTTGGTAACTTCATTATATCGGAAGTCAAAATCTAATTCAGATGACATTCATTATCTCACGATAATTAAGTATGAGTTTTACAGCATTGGATCGTAAAATTAATGCACGACTTTACCAACTAACGAAGGGTTATTATATCTTACGATCGTTTCAATATACGCAGGTGTCTCCAGGTGTTGAATGTTGTACACAATGAATACAAGAGTCTGCATGAACAGTTCGACGGCGTTATCAAGGTGAGGAATAATATATTTTGTCCGACTCTTTTATTGTTATCTTACGTGCTTTGTTTGGCCATAACCTACGGTTTTATTTAGAAACGAGATGAAAATTTAGAGATTGATGCTCTACTATTAGGTCAAAGATCAATATTGATGTATAGATACAGAACACCTATATATATAGATTTCTGGACTTGTAGATATGGAAACAATCTGCTTTCTTGTTCTGTTGTAACTTATTTTTTTATTCTACTTGGGCTACAGATTGAGCGGGAACTCGTTTCGAGGGGAACCAGACAAGCGTCGTAGGAAAAATCGAGCATGGTTATTTTGTAGCAGACAGAAGCCATAGTATTTTTCTTTTCCTTTAAAAAAAAATAATAATAATTTAATAATCATCAGGAACAAGGGAACTTGTTGAAGTTGTGACCCTTGTTCATTAAGTACTGTCATCTCTTGAATTTGCTCTTTTTCTTGATTATGGATTATTTTTGTGATGTATACATACATACATATATACATGTATATATGTAGCATTTGGAATTGTTTGAATGGGATTCATTCTTTGATAAATTTCAAATTTAGTTGATTAGAAAATTGTTTTTGTTATTATATATTTTAATAATTAATTTCAAAAAAATATGAGGAAGATTTAAGAAGTCATAAAAATGCCAATAGGCAATATATCTTATTAAAATTATTCCAAGTATTGCCCCAGTACATGTAAAATTCCTATGAACAAAATCCCAAAAATGATAGCTATAATGAAAATAATTTTTTTGATATGTGTGATAAAAAACTATCGGGATCATATGTGCTACGAAGGTTGCTGTAAATTTATACTATTTCCGAAAAGAACTTGCAGTAAGCCTAAACTACAAGATAGTAGCCTCCCAACTCGGACAAAGCTTCAGAAATTGCACTTCTAAAAATTGCACAACAATCAGCTTAGTCTGCATTTGCGTGTTTCGAATCTGCAATTCAAACCAACAAACATCGTCAAACTTTCAGTGTGGATGACGACATATATCTTTCGAATTCGTCTCCGAATAAAAAGTAAAACAAGTCCACTCCAAATGCAAAGCCAGCTTAGCCTGAATTGAATTTCAACATCTTCCAGTTTTTTTTTTTTTCTATACTCAAGAACAATAAACACGATAAGAAGCATATCTGGAAATTATGGATAAAGAAAACATTACGTTAAATCAGTTTCTTCAATATTGAATATGTGTACCTTGATTAGCACTAGTCAGGTGTCGCTCTTATACTGGCTCCATAGGAACAAATCATCATCTTCATCATCTGGCTCCAAAGGGTTTTGGACTTCAGTAGAGTTCTCATTCTTTTCTTCCTCAATGTGCTCATCTTTTGCTTCTTCATCCTTCATAATGTCATCAAAAAAGCAAACCTCAATGGCAGTTTCCGTAATCTACCCTAATTATAATAGTAAATTGTTGCTTTGAGAGATTTAAATTTAGTAGAACAGCAAATGAAAGAAATACATCAGCATTCGAGATCCCCTCATCTGCCACGTCATTGCCTTTCAAATCTGACATGTCATCTTTATCAGCATTGGAGGTCCCCTCATCTGCCTCTTCTTCATTGCCCCACAAATCCGTTAAGTCGTCTTTATCAGCGTTCTCATTTTCTTCAGCTGCATTTTGCTTTAAGCTCTCTATCACCCTTTTAAAATGGGAAAGATCTGCAAAAATGAGGAGTTCCAAACATTTTAAAAAGACAAAAAACAGAGCGGTTAATTTCCCAATTTCTCAGAATATCCTAGAGATATTTACTCTTCCAACAAAAATAATAATAATAATAATCGTCATTGCTTGAGGGCAAACACGTCATTTAGATGAGGGCAAAGTCTACCTTTGGAACGGTTAGTCAAAGCTTCACGAAGCCTCAATGGTTGCTGCCTTTCTTCTTTTTTGTATTTTAGCTTTATTTGTCGGCGAGTACGACCAGGAAAAAGCTGTTGTATCATAGAAAGGTCTGTCCCAAACTGCCCCATAGCCTACCAGATAAGTAGAAACAGAAATTAAGACTTTACCGATGTGTTCTTCACTACGAACCAAAACTCGCTAAAGAAAATTTCGGAATAATTTCACACCAAAGGGAAATACCAGAAATTAAGAACGAAAAAAAAAAAATTGCACTCTTATTGCAAGATGCAGAATGATTTTCGATGTTCTTGCTATTACAAAAATATACAAGTACGAGGAAGACACACCTCATAGAACAATTCAGTTTCCTGTTTGGACCATCTTGACTTGGGTGTTTTGTCCATGTAGGTTTGATAATTGAAGTAGAGGGTGGTGTCTTCAGCTGTATCTCCATCTTGGTTAGAAGTATCTTCTTCATCGTAAAGGCCATTACTGCAAAGCACAAATAAACAGAACTGTATATCATTCAGTATTGAACAACAATGCAACATACTTCATCATCTTTTTGGAATCCGTGATCATGGGCCACATGTTTTATTTGGATCATCACTTGAACTTCCTACTAACTATATGAAATCCACAAGGATACAAGAACATTATTGCACCCTAATCAGCAGTTTCTTCTGATATTGAACTCAGAAATGTTATTCAGTGCAGTATCTACCGAGCTCAAGATATCTTGACAAAACTAATTGCCCACTCTTTCTTACCCTTCACATTACACCATCAATGAGAGCCTCTTAACATTTTCAAGGAAAATTAAGAGGATGTAAAAGTTTATATGCATGTTTGTCCAGCTAAAATACAGATAAAGTTTCTACAGGTTCAGGAATAGATCTTAGTACATTATACAAGATAAAACTCAACATTCTCCTTCACCAAGGCATACCCAGTTCTCATTTCTTCACGTGCTTCATTTAGCATCTATTTTTGGTCAATATATAAGAAATTATTACCTTTGTTTCGCTGCTTGTGCTTGTGCTCGTACTGCTGCCTCTTCTTTTTTCTGAAAAATGTGAATGATATGATCAGAATTCGGAAAATAAACATATCAATCCACTAGTAGTATCTGGAAATATTCCCTTGAAATTTCTAAATACATCCAATGGCAGTGGCGAGATCCAGGCTAAAAATAAAACAAGTCTAAAGCATATTATACATACCGTCTGCTTTTCTCTGTGCTCTGCAAGCAATATTAAATCCCTAAGAGGCACACTTTGGTAGTCAATGTCATCTTCAGGAGTTTCAAGCAGAACCTTGTCCACTATATGGAAAGGTTTTCTGTCAGTTCATTAAATAAGAAAGCAAAACAAGCTGCAATTCTTAAACCTCAAAAGTTACACGTACCTTGTCTTCGTCGAGTAGAATGAGGGAATCTTTTACGCTTGGCACCTGCATCCTGATTTGTTGCCTCCTTGGCCGTCTTTCTTTTTCTGGGTGGTTTTCCATCGTCAGTTTTGTCAGACTTCCGCTTCCCCTTTTTCATTTGCTGTTCATTTTCCACTTGAAATTCCTCATTATTAATGTTTCCCTCCTCCGTAGCAGAATTGGGATGAAACTCTTCAGAAAAATCCCCACTAGCAAGGACTTCATCCTCATCCTCATCTACTAGTTCACAGAAATTCGTTTTGCCTTTTCTTGGCCGTAATAATCTATCAGTTTCATTCTCCTGATTGGATGTGGAAGCATTTTGCTGCTGTGGCGAAGGATCTGGTTCACTGTGACTTATATTACTTCCAGTCTTTGCCCGGCGAGAAGTCTAATAAGTGTAAGATAGCAATTGATTAATTTTCAGAAAACCATAATATTAGTTCAAGAATATATGCAATAGATCAACCTGTGCAAAAGTAGCTTACAAGTTTTGTAGGAACTTCGGCAAAACCCTCTAGATTGATATCAGAATCCAACTGAGACATCTCCATAAGATTCCCCTCTTCGGGCAAAGTATGAGTAATTCCTAGGGATGAAAGATCAAGAACATCATCTTGTTCAGATATAGGAATCGAATCCTGTTCCGCATAACCGGTTTCAGGTGGAACAGATTGAGGACCAAATGAGTCAGAAACAGATTCGTTGGCTTCACATATCTCCTTATGCATTTGTATGTTTGGCTCTGGCTGATTTTTTTCTGTTCTCTGTCCTAGATAACGAGGACCATAGGGATATATCTTAAAGTTTGAAATACAAAGAAAGTTCATAAAGCAGTCAATTCAGAATTCAACATACCAGATTTAGTTGTTAACTCGGTTGTGTTCATAGAATCCAAGGAATCCTTTTCCTGCAAATGATAAACATAGATCCCAAATTCAACTGAATTGGAAGTGTTTTTAGTGGTTGAGAAAAATGCTCAGACACTAAAGTTTTTGGCTCTTTACCTCGCTTCCCAATCCTCTTTCAAGTATATGATCACGTCCATCACAACTTGAAACAATAGGCTCGCTGGCAGTTGTAGGATTAAGATCCACTGCCTCTGAAGAAGGAACTGTACACTCTGTGACATAGTTTACAGTAATTGGGTTTAAGTTGTCTTATTTACCACTAATATAAGCTGAAGTCAAGCAACAAACTGACAAACAGAGGGCAACCGAAAGGAGTTTTTTCTAACCCTTGTCACTATTAGTTTGAGGAAGAACACCACCAAGAGATTCAAACCCGGTAAGTATGTCAGCATTCTAAAAAGAAGGAAATATAAACGTCAGCAGACTAAACCGACAAATGGTAAAATTGAACTGAAGTACTCACCTCTCCCACTGACTTTTCCGCAGTAGAATGCGGGCCTCCATTGTCGTTAGCCACAACCTCTGAACCTGAAATCACTTGGAAGGAACCAACATAAATTATTTATTCATTTATTCTTCTAATTGTGATAACTATTAAATGGACAAAAAATTGCAACTATAAAAACACACAACTTATATCAAATAAATAAGACGCTGATCCACTCAGTCAGGTAAATACTAACCGTGGTCTGATAGCTTTGTTGTCGGCACAGGATCGCTTAATTCACTCTGTGCGGAACCAATGGTTTGTACGGCTTGGGATGAAGAAACTGAAGCTGCTGCAGGCTCCTTTCTTGGTGGCTGGGATTTTGACTTCGGCTGAAACTTTGGCTTTGGCTTTGACTTTGGCTGGAATTTTACTTTCCTAGCTGGAAATACGTGGAAGTTTGGGCTTTAATTAAAATTGCAAAACCATAAAAATCTGGGAAAACGGGAAAACAACAAAACTCATCTTTTTACCAGCTGGTTGATTGGGAAGAATGTCATCAAATATATCCAAATCAACGTCCATCGTAGAATATCTGAATCAACACAATTTTCAGTATTAGACAGAGAAAAACACATGAGTTCGAAACCAAATATAGATTATGACAGAGGATATAGCAATTTCACATTAAAAACAAACAAACAAACATTATTTCCGGTATCAGGGAAAAAAAATGACGTGACTTCAACTATTTTTAGTAACAAGAGAATTTCACAAACGACGAACGAGATATAATTTGACCTTCCACGGTTATCCTATTAGACAAAAGGATTTACATTGTACAACTGCTACCATGCTCAGGATCGTAATTTTATGGATGCCCCGTGCCACAGATGACCTAATCGTTATAAAAAGGCATAAATAAAATATATGTCCACATAATAAAAACAAAAAACAATTGTGAACGTGTAAAGATCAACATTTTAAAATCAACATCCATACAAAATCGCACAATAACCAACTGAAATCGCAGAATACCCACACTAATTGCAATAGGAAACTGAAATGGCAAATACCCACACAAAATTGCACAAGAACCGATTGAAATCGCACAATGCCCAATCCAAATCGCACAGAGAAAAAAAAAAGTAATTAGGGTTTGAGGTTTTAGGGATTTTGAGAAAAATCCATATAAAAATAAATTATATTCTCGAAACAAAAGCAGTATACCTTAAGATTTTGGGGAATCGATTCTCGAGAAAGAACAAGCACGTCAGATTCTTCTGCAACTCCTGAATTTGTAGTAGTAAAAATTAGGGTTTCAAATTTGGGAAGAAGAAACATCCATTTTGGCTCCTTCGCTTTATTAAGTTTTAACTGACAAGTAAATATTTATAAATAAATAAATAAAAACTAATAAATAAATGTGAAGAAACACAACATTTTCTTTGAAGTTTGAACTGACAACAATAATATTGTCACTTCATACTTTTTCTTAACAAAATTACCAACTCTTTATCATACTTGCAAATATTATTATAAAATCATTTAATCAAATAATTTAAACCATTAATATTTAATATAAACTTGCACTAAAATCAAAATTGTTAAGAAATAGTATTAACTATTTAGGACCGGCAATTGGGCGGGGCCTAATAGAAATCCGATGGCTCGACCCGATTATATTTGGCTGAGTCTAATGTTTAGATGTCATCCACAATATTAATTCGGGACATGTATTGCTTGCAATCATGCAACACGAATATACATTTTGTTTTCAATATTTTGTTTAATAATCCGATATATATTCGAGCTTTTATTTATTTATTTAAGTATTCTTCATTCCGTCATCATAAGCTCGTGTGCATTAAACAGCACATTATCGTCAAAATTCAAATCGAGCTAAAACAATTTTTTTAAGTTTGATAAAAATCTAAAATAAATTCGAAGAACTTTTAAATTTCGTACGCTTCAATATGAAAAACGATGGATCACAGTTGACAAACTGTTGTAAAATGACCTATTTTATCTAGCTTTTTTGGTCTGATAATTGTGAGTTAATGTAGTAGAGTATAATATAAACAACAATAGAAACAGAAAAAAAATAGGATGCAAAAATAGCAATAATTGTTATTTTTTTCTTTCTCATTTATATAGCTGGTAATCATCGGAAGTGACAGAGAGAAGTTACGTGCGGGAGTTACGAGGACGTTAGCTCCTACACACATAATGATAGAAGAGGTTGAGAAACCTCAAAATGATTAGAATAAGAAAACCTGTTTTCCGTATTATTTACAACACAAAGAATAATTCTGTAAACCGCCTAATAATATATGGAGGGAGATCACCAGCCTGATCAGGCTAAACAGTTTTGAAAGTTTGGTATACCAAAATAAAAACCAAACTTGCTGAAAAAATGCCAAGTACCATAAACCATTCGAACAATTTTCTTTTCGTTGGATGGCGAACTTTCCCTAGTGTCGTTGTTGCCTAACACCGTCCACAAAAGATGTTTCTACAAACATAAAACACAAATATTAAAATTAAGGGTAAATTACAAACACCCCCCTGAGGTATGGTCAAATTACAAAAACCCCCCTCTTGTTTGGATAATTACATCTACCCCCTCAACTATGATTTTTTCTTACACCTACACCCTTATGGTGCCAAATTCAACATAATCATCTAGATTCCGTGATATTTTGTCTAGTTTGTACTCGTTTTGTGTAATAATATAGTTTCTGATGCACCAAAAACAGATATATACAAGCTAAAAATCACATATTATGATCATCTTGCTTCATAATGTAGAGTTTGAATGAGATAAAACGGGTACAAAAGTGATAATATTCCATATAATCTCGAAGATTTCACTAAATTTGAGGAGTTGAGGGGGTGGTTGTAATTATCCAAACAAGAGGGGTGTTTTTGTAATTTGACCATACCTCAGGGGGGTGTTTGTAATTTACCCTAAAATTAATAATACAGTTTATACACAAGAAAGAAAAAAAAAATGGCATTACCTTCAACAACTTTATATAAACTCGGTTCGATTGTGAATAATAATAATAATATACATACATAAATTGTGATAATCTTTGCTGAAGAATTGGCCCACAAATCCGAGCATTTAGGTTGTTGCCTGCAGGTACCAACTCCTCCCATAATACGAGCGAGTCATCGTATCCTACAAAGAAAAAAGTCAATGATTCAGTCAATGCAATTGTTTCCAAAAATTTCTATCAAAGTTTTATGTTGCTCAATATCATTTTTTTTCTGCTTTCTTTATCAGCAAAGACAGTTGTACATACATATTGTAGTAAATGAAGTTATCTATCTGTGCGTAAATATTTTTATGAGTAAACGAATGAAGATGGTGATATACACGTTGGGCTTCAGTAGGTGCAGTAGTATGGGATAAACAGGGTGGAAGTACTTAATGGACATAAATAAATGCCAATTATATGTCATGCAGTTGAGGTGTTCTTTTAAGACACATCACTCTCTTGGTCCCAAAATTAAAGAAATAAAATAAAATAAAAAGGAACAAGATTATATATGTATTTATATATGAGCTGTGTTGTAACTGACAATTTAATATTGGGATTTCCATATCTAACCAATCAGTGTTTCTATAAGTAACAACTCAGCATTAAAAAAAAAAATAATGTTCTTCCGTACCTGTCAATTTAGGATGAACAAATGGATCTCTCAACCTTTCCGGAACCCAATCTTCAGTCAACTCAACAAAAAGGCTTCTTCGAATCCACAATGGCTGCTGTGAAGCTGCAAAAGGTGTACCGTAGTTATCGTACACGTCGCAGATTAGCAGATTCTGCAGTTGCAGCTGAAGAGCTCTGGTAGGTTATTCTTATTTTCCAGTCGCACTTTTCTTATTTTCCGAAATTTATATTGTGGCAGTTCTATAAATTTTATAATCTCTGAGGAGTGAGTGACTAATAAATGTAAAGGTGGAAAGCAATAGAGTACGCTCGTCTAAACCGCAGCACCACCGCTTTCTTCAACTTCTTCGAACCCGAGAAACCTTCTTCAAGGTGGAGCAGGATCAGCTGGAATGCTTCAAAGGCATGCATGAAATATCTTAACTTCAATTCTTTGAGCAGTAAAAAAATCGGCTTCTTATAACTTTTTGAAAGTGGGATTAATTTATAATAATATATTACAGGTCGGGAAGGGGTTAGTTAAGGATGCAAAGGCTCGGAAATTGGCTTTCCAACACTGGATTGAAGCTGTAAGAAAAAGAAAGCTTTAGTTTGCTCTCTTTTTGAATTTTTTCATCCCTTGGAATTTAGAAAACATATTCTATTATGGCTGTACAGATTGATCCGAGGCATCGTTACGGTCATAATTTGAGCATGTATTTCGGTGAGTGGTGCAGACGTGACACACAACAGCCATTTTTCTACTGGTGAGTCTATAATATACGCAAGCAAGAAATGTTATTCTTATTTCAATACGCGAAATACGAAATGAAAAAAAGAAATAGATAATTAGAATCAATTCAGAAGAATTATTTACCCCTTTGTGTAGGTTGGATGTTGGAGAAGGCAAAGTGGTTGACCTTGATGAATGCCCAAGATCGAAACTTCGGCAAGAATGCATCGCCTATCTTGGACCTGTAAGCATCAATCAACAGATCATGTGCTGTAGCTCTATAAAGCATGATAGTCAAATTATTTGAAAATAGTCAAAGTCAGCTCAATAAAAATGGTGATTCATGATTTTTTTTTTTTTCTTTCCCATTTTGGCTGAATCAAGCAAGAGAGAGGCCGATATGAATACATAATAGTTGACGGTAAATTAATGAACAAGCAAAGTGGATATCTTCTCGACACAAATGAGGAAGTTACAGGCTCTAAATGGATCTTTGTGATGAGCACATCTGACAAGTTATACGCTGGAGAGGTGAGATCAGTATCACAAAGGAATATTCTCAGCAAATAACGACTATTTTTCTCGATACACAAACTAATCCATGTTTTTTTCAATTTTTTTTATTTTTTTTATTTTTTGCCAGAAAAAAGAAGGGAAAATTTCATCATTCCAGCTTCCTTGCTGGCGGTGTGACACTAGCAGCTGGAAGACTCGTGGCAGAACGTGGAAAGCTCAAGGTAAAAAAAATTGTAGATTTAACTGAAAACATCTGAATTTAATTAATACATGCAATAAAATTTTAGTACAAGTTACCAAAATAAAATTTAAAAACGGTACCATCTTTCAGTCTGTATCAGCATATAGTGGCCACTACCCGACCACCAGGACGAGAATCTGACC